TTGGGTATGATATTCTGCCCTTGAATCTTTTCCATACCTGTTGTTAATACTTCTGGGTTTCCACCACTACTTCTCAGTCCTCTTTTTATGATCTTGGGTTTCACAAGAGGTCTGAGGGCAGACATGATGCTGAGTAGGAAATGGCTGTCACTTCAGCTGCCCCGGAGAATTCCATGTCTTTTTATATGTAGTTATATCACTTTTCCAAATATGTTATCTGCTTCCTAGTGTCAGGAGTGCTTTTACCTCAATGTTATCTAGAGCAGTGCCTAGAATAGAGAAAATACATAATGGATGCTCTTTTTTTTTATTTTTTAAAAAAGATTTATTTATTGATGCTTACAAAAACTGGGGTACAGATCAGAGGTATGGAGGGTGAGAGCATTCACCAGAGACAGAGTGGGGAACAGAACAGGCAGACTGACTGAAATACACTGCTGAGGGGAGCAGTGGGCGAGTCAGGAGAGGTCTGCTGTGCCATGTGGGTAGCTCCCTGGCCGGGGATTGAACTCATGCTGCAGTGGCTGCGGACAGCTTCATAGGTTGTGTCTTAACCTCTTGCTCCACCAGGGAGGGCCTGGATGCTCTCTTGTGACTGGATATGTCTTTAGTCAAGAGAGTCCTCCATCCTCTGAAAATACCTAAATACTCCCTTCTATCATTAACTGTGAAGTGGTTGTTCCTAGGTGCTGTGTTGTGTGTTACTGGTCTCTAATCCAATCCAGCTCAAATCAAGTTCATATGTGTTGGAATATACAGAATAACATAGTCTTTGCAAGATGGCTAAAGTTTGGGTTATGCTCAGTGGCTTGGACCTGTACAAGTGAATGCCTGAGATTCTGGGAAGAAGGTCCCACCTAGGCCCATTCTTTACCTGCTTTGTGGCTGGTGCTGACTTCAGAGTTACTTAGATTTACATAATAACAAAAAGCTGGAATTATTGGGGTTTTCTAGAACTCTGCATTAGAAGTCAAGCAATAGTCCTCTAGCAGAGCTCTAGAGCATTTAATATTCTAGATCTTTCCATATTCACTTCATGATTGAGGTCTCCACTCAGAAAATAACATTGTGCTCATTAAACAGAGTTTAAAGATTTCAACCATCATAAAAACTGATATTTGTATATGAACAAATGAAGGCCCTTCACATTTGTGAGTACTCTAAGGGAGGTAATATATTATTATTGTTGTTATTACTGTTACCAATATGTCAAGGAAACAGATATTCAAAAACATATCTAAAGTTGTTATCAAAGAGTTAGGATATAGCAGATCTAAATCATGTGTACTTTACATCATAGTCTTTTATGTAACTTTCCCTGAAGTCCACCTCATATAATCCTTGAGGATTTTATTATTGTTTAGGGAGGAAAAACATGTACACTCTGTTACTTCTCGACAAACCCAGTTTATAGCCAAGCTTAAGTAATCATCCTTGATTTCAAATACCATGCCATTTATTTAGGAAGCAAAAACTATTAACTCCCAGAAGTTCTCACACCAAATGTGCTTTTCTGGAGAAGAAAGGCATTTCTTATGGGGGTAGTTAATACGAAAGAGATTGAGAAACAATGTGATATTTCAATTGAGTTGATTTGTTAATTGTGCCTTTATTAGGAAATATCTACTAAACTGAATTATGATCATGTAGAAATCACTTAGCTCCAGATATGTTAGGAAAAGATAATTGTTTTCTTGATGTAATAATAAAGCTCGATATTATCTGGGCCTCTTTATTTGTTCTTGTTCTGCAACTTAAGTCAGCTAATATATTTCTCTGAAACCCTCTGAGCTTTTAATGGCTGGCTTTTATTTCTCCATTACTAATGAGTTGGTCTTTTTTTCAAGTCATCCCACAAGTGAAAGTAGGCAACATTTCTTTTTTAAAAATACATTTGGCTGCAGTCAACACATCTTTTCAACACAGGTGTTCTCTCAGTTCCTCAAACCCCTCTATATATTTTCTCTCTACCACTTTACCCTGCTGAAATATATGTAGTCTCACCTCTTCCCTTTTTGGAATTCCCTAGTCTAAATTCTCTCATTGTATTTCCTCTCCTCCATAGAATCTGACCTCCCTTATATATTTTATGCGAATATTTGAGGGACAAAGTTATGCTTGGGGGTACTATAGGAGAGGTTGAAAGTAGCTTCCTGTTTTTACTGAGCTCTTTGGCTGTAAAGAACAGAGACTTCCCCAAGTTTTCTCGAGTACCCAGAGACTTGATGTAATTACACACATGAGCACAAGGAAAGAACAATTTCACCTCTGGGACTAGGTTCATCTCTTGTTTCTCCATGACTGAGTCTCTTTCTTTGACTAATGGATTCCTCTTTTCTCTCTGTATGCCTCATGCTTTGATGCCATTCCCTATCTGAAGCAATAATTTCTATAAATGGGCTTCTGCCATCCTCTCTCACTGCTGTGGAACTAGCTCTTGTTTTAATTCAGACTTCCCCAGTAGCTGTCTTAAAAGTCCTTGGTTCACCTGTTTCATTTCTATCTTCAGAAGCTTGCTGCAATAGTTCTCTTAATAATAGTGTGTACTCTCAGAAATTTGAGAGCTTGGCATTTCCATGACCTGAATTAAACAACACACATACAAAAATCTACCCCTTAGTAGAGTCTATTGCTATAAAACAATTTTTAAAAAGCATTCTATGCACTTCAAGCACCCTAATGGCCAAATCCCCAGCCCCTTCTCCTCTCTTAGATGACAATGTTCTTGACTTACTTGAAGACTCTAGGATGACCTACTCTGAGGAAGATAGCTTGGAAGAAGGTGCTAGTTCATTCTGTGCCCCATACCTAGCTCTTCTCATTGCTTCTAGATCCCTAACCATACCTACTCCTAGTGTTAGGGGAAAAAGGATGTCCCAAAGCTAATTCCATATAGGCTTTGTGGACTCCACCCCCACCCTAGGTCAAAGTCAAAGACACTGGGAACTTCAAATTCCATTATCAACAAAGGGAAGTTGGCTGGGACCTGAGGGTGGGGTTAAGCAGCCAGGTGGATACAAAAGGCAGACACGTGGGCTTTGGGGGGCCCCCATTTTGGCTCTCCGCCAGTTCGCAGTGTCCAGCCAGCTCTGAGAGTGACTTTGGGTTTCCAGGTCATCGGATCGGGTAGGACGCATTAAAGACTTTATTTCCCTATGTTTTTCCTGAGTTGTACATTTTCCTTATTTTCTTTTTTCTTGTAAATAAACCTTTTATTAACCTTTTGTGTGTGTGTGTGTAGTAGAGTATTCATAAGTCCCTTTAAAGCGCGCGGGTGAGGACCCACAGCCAGGAACCCGTTTTAATATCGGGGTTGCTCTATAACAGCTTGATCTCTAGAGGACAGGCTGCAAAGTCAAATCCAGAACTTGATAAACAGCAAACAATTTGCAGTATTTTGCCAATTTATATTGGCAAAAAAACAGGAAACAAGTGCTAGCATTTTCAAGATCAATTTTCCTGCATGCTATTCTACAGTGCAGAAATGACTTATTCTGGGATAGAAGAGACATGTAAATAGAATTATAACTGATGTAGTATTCAAATTTGAACAAGACATATTTTTAATGATCATGATCATTCATTCAGAAATGCCCCCAGTCATGCAAATGTTAGCATTCATTTTCCATGTGCATTGTATGTAATTTCACATGTGGAGAAACAAAGGGAGTTCAGCTACTTAAAGGTAGTTTAGATAAAACTGTACAGGGGATAACATATATTTTACGGGGTAGGGAGTTCTATCTTGTACCACTGACATCAAGTCCTAGAATTTTTTAAAAAAAGATTTATTTATTTATGCATACAAGAACTGGGGTACAGGCTAGAGGTTGGGGGGGGGGTGAGAGGAATCACCAGAGAAGAGTGGAGAACAGAACAGGCAGATTCACTGAAATACACTGCTGAGGGGAGCAGCAGGTGAGACAGGAGAGGTCTGTTGCACCATGTGGATCATCTCCCTGGCTGGGGATCGAACTCGTGCTGCAGAGGCTGTGGATTGCTTCATAGTGCGATGCTAACCCCTTGCGCCACCAGGGAGGCCCAAGTCTTAGAATTTAATTGTTGATCTCTGTTATAAGAATGGGTGTTATTTTGCAATAAAACAAATGCTTGGCAAATAGCAGGCACTCAGATTTGGGCATTCCTTTGGATGTATGAATGGATGGTGATACCTGGAATATGAAGTGAACTTAAATCAGCATTTTGGTTCACAGGGGAAGATGATTAAATCTAGCTTCAGTGTTCTGGAAGTCTTTTAAAGATGGATCAAGTGCAAACTAGATCATGCCAGTACTGCGCAAGACACCGGGGCTGGAAAATACAATTTTAAAAGATCCTAAGTTGATCTGAAATGGGACAGGCTTGCGTATGACTATTCAGGCAAATAAACTAGCAAGAAAGCGCAGTGTTTCAGGCAAACTAGCAAAAGGGCTGAGAGGGAGTTGGAAAGATCTCTTTGGAAGATTTCTTAATATCAAATCATCTCATTTTGAGGCAACTGAAACCACTATTACTGGTTAAGTGGTTTGCCCCGGGATGCACGCACAGCGTTGCGAAAGCGGTTTAGCATCAGGTCGCTCGTGTGTTCATTCCACCAGGTACAAGCAGCAGCTAGACCAGGAAACTCCTGCAATATCCGAAGGTTGAAATTTCTGATGCGAGTCTGTCTTCGTCAATGGGGACTAGAAGTTTACTCCTAAATCATATCGCACTCAGTGCCGGACCTTCTAAATTCTAATTACCATTTTTTTGTGCCGCAACAGAAAAGCGTCGAGCATTTCCTCTCTACAAGCGAGCATTTCCTCTCTACAAGCATCTGCCGACGTGCAAACAGACGCCACCCGCCCACTCCCTTCTAGGCGTTCCGCAAAAATCCTCCGAGATGACGTCATCCAAGGCGTTCGGGGGGCGGTGCGTTCCTGACCACACCCCCTACAGCCGAAGTCCCGCCCCTCAGCGTCTTCGCCTCTCCTTTTTCCGGCGCGTCGTGACGCAAGACGTAGGTCACGCAACATTAGCAACTGGTCTCGGAAGTAAAACGCAAAGGGGCGGAGAAGAAGGCGGAAGGGAGGGTCCTCGTCGGGGGTTGGCCGGTAGGGGGCGGGGCGGGGCCGGGGATGGTAACGGCTCGGAAGCCGAGGGGGCTGGGCAGGAGGGAGGCGGAGGAACCGGTGCCCGCCGCCGCCGCCGCCGCTCCCACTCCCGCCCGTTCCCTGTGGTTCCCACGGGCCCCGCCGCGGCCATGATGATCCACGGCTTCCAGAGCAGCCACCAGGACTTCTCCTTCGGGCCCTGGAAGCTGACGGCGGCCAAGACTCACATCATGAAGTCAGCGGATGTGGAGAAGTGAGGCTCCCGGGCACGGGTCGGGCGCGGGCCAGAGGGCGGGCCTGGGCGGGAGGCCGGGTGAGCCCCGCGCAGCCGCTTCCCTGGGACAGAGGCTGGGGCCGGGGTCTTTGGGGGACAGCGGCAGTGAACGATATTACGCCCTCCTGTAGTCGTTGGGTTGGTGGTGGCTGGGCTCGGCCTTGGCGAAACTGTCACTCCTCGGCGTGAGAGAGCCTGACAGTTCTGCAGGCTTTCCGATCGCCGTCGGTCCCTACCTGCCCTAGTCTGCGCCCCATGTAGACCGGTTCTGTGTGTGTGGCTGTGACTCCATTTTCTTACATATCTGAAAAACCATACGTGTCTACATATTGTTGTAGAGTCTCCCCCTAGACACAGACCCGAGTCTAAATCAAATTTAGAAAAGGCCTTTATTAGCCGGCCGGCGACTGTCCCTCTGGTAGGGAACAGCCCCGAGCTGGGGGTGGTAAGGGTTTTTAAAGCCAAAAACAGCACCTGGGAGTTTGCAGGTGTCATGGCAAGTGGGGGTCCAGAAGCCAAACTGTGTTGTTACATACCGCACCCAGGAGTTTGCAGTTGCCACCGCAGACCGGGGGTACAGAAGCCAGACTGTGCTGTTACAAGCAGCGGAGCGATTCACCACATCCCATGTTTCAGGTCCAAAGGGTACATACGTCTTATTTTTGACGGGAACCCGGCCTCTGTTGTTTTGGCCTGGAATTTTCCCACAGCCCTAACTTGTCCTCCTGAGCTAACTCGAGCTGAGGCCTTGCGTGGCCTGCTACATTTCACATTGCCCCCATTTCACAATATATACATCAATGTGTATGTATGTATATGTGCATGTGTGTATGTATGTAGGCATGTATGGTTTTTAGCAAAGCAGGTGCTGTGCCAGGGACTTGAAATACTGAACATGAAAGGCAACCTCTGCCTCCAGGAAGTCACCATTTCTACAGACAATTATAATACAGTTACAATTGTTGATGGAGATATTTACACCGGGTAGTTTGAGAGTGTTAGAAGGGGAGTGGAGGACTGGAGATTTGATGGCCAGTTGATAGGAGAGAGAAGGAAAAAGGAGGGCTCTACTGATGGAAAGATTCCTGACGTGGGCTATTGCATGGAAAATGTTGTTATTGAACAAGATGAGAAGCACAGGAAATCGAGCAGATTGGGGCAGTTGTTTGATGGAATTTATCATTTGTTGAAATGTCATTTGTGTATGGGTCATAAAGCGGAGATGTAGTCAGCTTTTGGATATATTTATCTTGGAGCTTAAAAAAAGACCACTTGTCTATGGGTTTAGATTTAAGAATCCTCCATTTATATTTGATAACTGGAGTCTTGGCAGGAAATTAAGGTCATTCAGAAAAAAAGGAAAAAGCTCATGAGATGGAAGCTAGGGAACACGAGGATTTGGCAGAGGAAAGAGAGGAAAGCTGTTTAGCTTCCTAAAAAAAAATAACATTCCTGTACACTCAATAAGGAAAATACAGAAAAGAAAAAAAAATCATCACACCACACATTGAATTACTGTTTGGGTTTTTCCCTCCACGTTATGTTCTCTGTTACATGTTGCACCATCTATAATTGTACTGTATATAAAGCAGTGTGCTTCATATCAGGGTTGCCCATATAACTTATAAAATTTTTAAGAGATGTTGGATGCATGGAGAGCTTTAAAACATGGAGCGTTTTAATTCTGGTTTTTAATCTCTTTATGTCTTATTTCTAAGATAAATCTTATTATTTCTAAGGTAAATCTACCTAGTATACTTAGTCCTTTCTTCTGACAAAAGAAAGGCTTACCCTCACCCATCCTAACTTTCTGTGCTGCATTGCCCTAGGGTATAAAAACCTCTAGGGTGCTAAATAAATGGATTAGAGGAAATATTGGATTAAAAACACTTCTTTTAATGGATATTTAAGGCTAATAATGAATATTATGGATACTTAATCCTGTAGAGGTTTCTTGTCTTCATGTGTTTTAAATGTAATCCTATTAGTTAAAATTGAAGTTTGACATTAAAAATGCAGTTAAGCCACTCTGTCTTTGGCTCATGTTTAAAATACTCTGAATTTAAACTTTTGAAAGCAATGTAAGTGCCAGTGATCTTTTACCTATATAAGGGGAGCATCTCATGGGACTACCAGATTTTTCCAGATATATTAGGTATAATCACTAGAATAATGTATTTCACTTTCAGTGTGCATTATTCAGTGAAGTAGTCCGAACTTATTTTACCTAATCTTTTTTATGGAGCATGCTAATTACAGTTCTTTTGTTTGATTTTTTAAGTATTAAATCTTTTAAAATTTTATTTTATTATGGTAAAAACATTTAGCAAGAGAGCTACCCTCTGAACAAATTTTATTTATTTTTTTTTTTAATTTTTTTTTTTTATAGAGGCATGTTTATTTCTTTATTTATTTGTTTTGTTTGTTCTGTTTACACATGCACTGGGTACAGTCAGAAGGGCGGGAGGGTGAGAGAATTCACCAGAGCCAGAGCGGGGAGCAGAGCAGGCAGAAGGACCGAGTACACTGCTGAGGGGAGCAGCGGGCGGCAGGAGAGGTCTGCGCGCCATGTGGGACCCTCCTCAGGTGGCCGGGGAGCAGCCGGGGATCGAACCAGCGCCGCAGAGGCCCCGGGCAGCCTCGCAACCCAGCGCTCAACCGCTGTGCCACCGGGGAGGCCCATGAACAAATTTTAAAGTGTGTAACACTTTTGGTTATGGGGACAATGTTGTGTAACCGATGATTAGAGTTTATTCATGTTGATTGATTGAAACTTTTTGACTGTTGTTTAGTAAATCCTCATTTCTTCTCTCCCCCCACACCCCCAGCCCTTGGCAACCATCTTTCCACTCTTTGAGTCTGTGACTTTGACTATCTAAAATATTAAAATCCATAAAGCTAAAATTTATCTAAAATTATCATGTAGTATTTTCTTGTGACTGGCTTATTTCAGTTAGCATATGTTCTCAGGGTTCATCCATGTTGTTCCTCTGGTTACTTTTCACTCTTCCCTCCCCTGTTCCTGATGGCTTCTGTTTCAGGCCATGTCTCTTGGTCTGTGTTTCATTTGACTGTAATGCAGACATCTGAAGAGAGAGATCAGAATAAGATTAATTGATCACTAGTCAATTAGGCATGACTATATTGGGCACAATTTTCTAAGACTTAGGGATTCTGGCAGCCCAAAGATAATTTCCTTTTGGTTGAGAAACTGAACATTCATCTCTAAATTGAAAGCCCTGCTGTAACTGAGGTGATGGGCTCATACACATGGTAGTAACCTATTCATATAGCTACTTTTTTCAGAAGTGAGTAACTAGCTGACACATTAAAAGCTTTATAATAGTGATTACAAACCCAACTTTCTAAAAGGGTCCAGGGCGAACTGGAGAACCCATGCCCCCACTTAAAAGGGCAGACTACTGAACTCTAGCCAACTGGTACAACATAGCCATACATGCCCACATAATGTTGTAGGGCCTCCTGACTACTTCAAATATTTAAAAAATATACAGGCCAATCAAAACATATCTGTGGGTTAATTATTTGTGGTCATAGCTTTATAGTTGTCCAGTATAACTTCGTTTTCTAATGAGGCGGGCCAAAAGAACTCTAAGTATATATAAGGCAACCTGGTGTCATGGGAAAAGGACTGGAGTTAACCTTACTAGCTCTGTCATCCTCAGTTAGCCACGTGAACTCTCTGAACCTTTCTTGGCTCAGAAGGTAGTTTTGAGGCTCAAATGTCACAATCACAGAAGCAGTCTCTGATTTTCCTACCTAACATAGTGCCTCCCTTCCCTTACTTTGTTTTTTTTTTGGGGGTGTGTGTATCACTTATCACTGACATTATATTATGTATTTCTGTATTTATCATCTATCTTGTTTAGCTCATTGTCTAGTACAGTGTTATAAAGATACACATGGAGAGAATGGATGCTGAAAGCATTTTTAGATTTTGTAAATGTTTATTTTATCAAATTTTATATTATTTAATTCAGTAATGTTGAAAAAACTCTGGTGGGAACAAACAAAAGTGCCAAGAATGATATAAAATAATCTTACCCAACTTTTGGTTATATGTAGGTTAGCTGATGAATTGCACATGCCATCTCTTCCTGAAATGATGTTTGGAGACAACGTTTTAAGAATACAGCATGGCTCTGGCTTTGGGATTGAGTTCAACGCTAGAGATGCATTAAGATGTGTAAACAACTACCAAGGAATGCTTAAAGTCGCCTGTGCGGAAGAGTGGCAGGAAAGCAGGTGAGAATCTGGACAGTTCTGGATTAAACAAAAAGGAAAAGAGTTGAAAATAATTTCATGATGTGTATTTTATTAGAACAAAGGGCTATATTGGTAGACTTGGTAGTTGGATCATTCTAGAATTCACTTTTCATATCCATGAAATGGAGGTTAGCAATTCCATCTCTTGAATAGTTGTTAAGTAGAATTGCAATTGAGCTGAACTTGGTAGGGTTTACTTTTCTGAACCTTTAGTGTTCTTTAATGAAGAGGCAATACACTGTGTACTTTAATGCCCCTGTTTTTTTTTTTTTTTATTTTTCTTTAAATAAATTTTATTTTTATATTCCCCATACAATTGCAACCCCCTTATTTTGACCCTAATCCCTCCCCTCCCCACCCCCCATTGAGTGTCTCTTGTTCATAGTTGTTTGTTGATTTTGATATTTTCTTTCTTATAGTTATTCTTTTTCCTGGTCCCTTATTTAAGTTTTCTAGATTCCTGCTATGAGTGAGACCATCCGGTATTTTTCTTTTTCTTTCTGACTTATTTCGCTGAGCATGATCCCTTCCAGCGCCATCCATGTTGCTGCAAATTGCATGTGTTTATCTTTTTTGAATGCTGAGTAATATTCCATGTGTATATGTACCACATCTTCTTGATCCAGTCATCTATTTTTAGGCATTTGGGTTGTTTCCAAAACTTAGCTATTGTAAATAGTGCTGCTATAAACATAGGGGTGCAGGTGCTCTTTGGAATTGATGTTTCTGTGTCCTTTGGGTAAATACGTAGGAGTGGAATTGCTGGATCATATGGAAGCTCTATGTTTAGTAGGTCCAGAAATCTCCACACAGCTCTCCATAGTGGCTGGACCAGTTTGCACTCCCACCAACAGTGCAGGAGAGTTCCTTTTTCTCCACAGCCTCGCCAACATTTGTTGTTGCTAGTTTTTTTAATATGTGCCATTCTCACTGGTGTAAGATGGTATCTCATGGTAGTTTTGATTTTAATGCCCCTGTTTTAAAGAGAAATGTTTACTTATGACATGCATTGAAAATTTGAGAAACTTTGAAATTAAGAAAAATGTTTCTTTGATAATCAAATCAGCTTTTTTTTTTTTGGTGCCTAGTAAGTACTAGGTTCCTTAGAGGACGCAAAGAATATAAGCCTTTTTAAGCCCATGTCCTTAGGCAGAATACAGACTAATTGGACTCCTTCAGCACATGACAGGTTAAATAACAATAAATGTACCAGAAACTGTAAGAAAGATGTATTCGTACATCATGACATGTGTATGTATTTGGTAGAATTATCTGTAAGATGTAATTTGGTGTGTTATATGACATCACTAAATCTGATACTTCTCATTTTGGTATTTGAGGACGGAGGGTGAACACTCCAAAGAGGTTATTAAGCCATACGATTGGACGTATACAACAGATTATAAGGGAACATTACTTGGAGAGTCACTTAAGTTAAAGGTAAATTTTGTGCTTTTTATTTTCTTGGACAGTCTCAACATTAGGACTTAGTAGTAATGGGTTATTTTTTGCTACTTCTTTCATTCCTATTGTGGGGGGGTTTCAGAATGCAAGGTGAGGGGATTTTGTTGATTATCAGCAGAAAATAAAAGGAGACCCAAATGGAACCATTTTTGATTCTTAAACTGGTTGATAACAATGGCAAATTGCCTTAATGTTATTGTTACCATCATCAAAAAGCATTAAAATGTACATTTGTCATTAGTATGATTTCGTAGATGATTTAGAAAGAAGTGTTAGCTAGTAGCTTACAGTTTTACAGATGAACAGTTATGTGAGCAATTTGGATTCTAAGTCACACAACTTAGGTTTTGTTCTTCCTGTTCTATGTGTGAACCTGGTATGACGTCAGGCAAGTTACCCAGTTTATCTTGAATCTCAGTTGTAAGTTGGGAAAACAGAAATATCTATTTTGTGGCCAAATTTGGATTTGTGCTTAAGAAGAGACTCACTTCATGGTCAGTGACACTAAGAAGGGGGGATTGGTAGGTCTCAGATTAGGAGCTTAGCTGAATTTTGAGATCTTAAAATGTGACTGAAATGATGCAAATTTGGCTTAGCTTGTGTATCTCTAAATATCATATTCTATTATAATAAATGCAGTTATTTCTGTGTAAATGATTTACATTAAAAGTAGTTAGCGGAGATCTATAGAGTATTGTTGGTGCTTAGGCAGAGCTGTTAAAGATATAGGTTATGCGCTTATCACTGCAAAGATTTTGAGACCCTTGAAGATATAGAAGTTCATAGTTGGAACTTAGGAATTCTTGAGGTTTTTTCTCGCCTCTCTCTCAAGTGTTCACTGTTTTCTGTGCTGCCTTTTATTTATTTATTTTTTAAAAGATTTAATTTTTTTTTTTTTTTATTTATACAATAGCTGGGGTACAGGCCAGAGGTACGGGAGGGTGAGAGGATTCACCACAGACAGAGTGGGGAGCAGAACAGGCAGACGACTGAAACACACTGCTGAGGGGAGCAGCGGGCAGGACAGGAGAAGTCTGCCATGCCATGTGGGACTCTCCCTGGCCGGCCGGGAATTGAACCCGAGCTGCCGACAGCTACACAGTGCTTCGCTCAACACACTGCGCCACTGGAGAGGCCTTGTGCTGCCTTTTAGACCAAAACCAAAACAAAAACAAACCATAAACCAAAAAACAACCCCAGTCTGTGTGAGAGAACATTTTCCTTCCCTCCCTCCCTTTTTTCCTTTCCCTTCTCTCTCTCACTGTGTACCAGGCACTAACCATGGATACAGCAGAGAACAGACAAAAATCCCTCCTTTACAGTCAAATAGGGGAAAGAGGGGGCAAAGTTATTTCAGTTTCTTAAAGTTCTCCAATGTCCTCACTCCCAAGGGAAAACTTTGCAAAGAAAAACATGTATCCAGTACACTCTTGTTGCCACATAAACCTGTAATATAATTTGTTGTGAGGTGTTCCTGACAAATAGCAATGTGATTGCCCTCTCACCATTGCTAATGAACTCGGGCTTTAGCGGAACAGAGTCCTGGGTTCAAATCTCAACACCAACACTTAACAACTTGGAAAAGTTTTGATTTTGCTAAACCTTGTTTCCACTTTGGGAAATTTGAGATATTAACAGTTGTGAGGTAATAGATGATATATGTAAGATAGTTAGTATGCTGTCCACTAGAGAGAATAAGATCTCAGTAAATGACAGCTGCTGCTATTATTATGATAATATATCTCACATATCAAGGGAACTAAGTTAATATTGAAAGGAGAAAAAAAACAAAGAATAAAATTAGATAAATTGTCTACATTTTCATTGTTTGATGGTCTAAAAGGAGCTGATAAATATGTTCCCTTACTGTGTTAAAAAATGGAGTGACTATTTTCCAGGCAAAATTGTGAGAGTTTGTAGCTTAACCTTCATCATATCCTTGTAGTCTAGGCATTATTCTCATTTTGTAGATGAAGAAATTGGTTCAAGATCTTAAGGTATGAATCTCTTAACTATACAATAGCAACAACATAAGGCTAATGTTGTAGCTCATTGTTTAAGCAGGGTGGTTATGTATAGATTACGTCCATATAAACAGTTTTTGCATTTAACTTTTGTAATACATAAGACTTTTTTTGACCTGTGATGTTACTTGTGATTTTAAAGTCTTCAATTCTCCAGTTCTTCCTCAAAATGCTTCTTAAAAACACTGGTGTATATAAGAAATATGTGTCTGTATAGAGAATGTATTTTATATAGACAGTAAGAATATCAGAGAGCTTTTTCTTGGCTCTTAAATTTGAGGTTTTTAGTTGATGGGGAGCTTCTGATTATGTGTGTTTCTGTATTCAGTGGTTTCTCAATTTGTTCTCAGTACCTTTTCAGAAGGAAATTTAACATAGTATTCTTAGTATTTTCTGTTATTTAACTTTATATGATCTGTTAAGGAGTATTCGTGTCCAGTAATTTCCATATTATAAACTTTCATCTAATGTCAGGGAGGGCTTTGAAAGATGTGAATAGGATTTATTTTTCTTGTAAGAAAGCCAGAATGTTTGTAGTTTCCATATTTTTTAAGCCTTTAAAAAGTTGTGCAATAACAAAACCAGAAAAGTTCACAAAACATGAAGTTACCGTTTAACGAATTGTGAAATGTAGCGAATGCAGGAAAATAAATAGACATTGTAAGCAGCCCCTGCAGGATCATACCTGATCATAGTCATTCTTTTAAGAAAATATTTCCTAGTATCCATTGAAATTTTCAGTCTTAGCTTCTGTATCCTTAAAATCAGTGTTCCTTGTTTTACAGCTTGGGACTTATATTTTCAATATCTGGAGTCTCAAATCTTACTGTTTCTGTTGCTTCTGGCTTATGGTGTCCAGGCTCCTGATATTCCTCTACGTTTTTGTTTGACTCACAGGATATATTCATCTAGAAGAGATTTTTGTTTATTTCCAGCAGGCACTTTTTATAGTCAAGGACTAGGCCTGCAAACTTTTCCTGTGAAGGAGAGTGGATAGTAAATACACTTTGAGGGCCATGAATTTTATGTTGCAGCTACTCAACTCTGATGATGTCATTGAAAGCAGCCATAGACAAGTATGAGCATGGCTATGATTCAGTAAAATTTTATTCATGTATATGGAAAATTGAATTTCATGTAATTTCATGTATAATAAAATATACTTTAAAAATTTTTTCCCAGTCATTTAAAGAATATTAAAATGATCCTTCACTAGCAGTCCATACAAAAACAGGTAGTAGGCCACATTTGGCTACAGGTCTTAGTTTGCCAACCTCTCATCTTTTCTAGGGCTGGAGTTTGAAGTTTACTGGGCCTGTAGTATAAGAAACCATGAAACCAGTGTAGCACCTTAGGGTATCATCCCCAAATTAGGAGGTGGAGCAGGGAATGTTCCCAAGTTCCCCACCTTGGTAAGCACTAAGCAATGATGGGAGCAAAAGCTATCAGTCCAGTTCCACCGCTGGGTCAGCCATTGGCTGATGCCTTAAGGCCACAGCTGCCATGTACAGGCTCACTTTCACTTTTTGGGACTTTATGCAGTAATTCTTCAGTGTCCATATCTTAGTGCAGTAATTCTTCAGTGCCTTGACCATTTGATGTGTTAAAGAAGTTTTTGTTTTCCACATAGCTTTTAAAATTGTCTTTCGCAGGAGGGTTTTTCTGGCTTACTTATTCTGACAATTTTGGAGGCCAAGAATTACTGTGTTTCAAGTTTAGTTTTTTGGGGTTCTCCCTCCGCCCCCCTCTTTTCTTTTTGTATGCTTGGGTTAGGGGAGGAGATAAGTGGAGTTGAGGAAGACTGGACTAAGACAAAGTTTTAAGCGTGTCTCTGTCTTCGAAAATGAAGAAGATAGTATAGATAAGATAAATATAATGAATATCCCTAATCTATGTTTTACTTAATTGTTTTTTTGTCTTTCAGATATTTAAAAGCATAAGTAAATGACAATACTGATGTATTTACTTTGACTACTTGCTAAGACAGTATGAACTATTAGTTAAGTAACCAATTACTAATTAGTAAATTCCTTTTAGCATCAATTAATTTTTTGCAAGTCAGAAGTATCTATAAGGAGGATCTTTCAAATGTATTCCTTTGAACTAAAAGGAAATAAAAAGTAAGGAATTTAGACTTTTTATTAAACATTAACTAAAGTTTTATGCTCTTAGACAGTCCTAGAGGCACCGACTTTTATCTTAAATAGATCACAAGCCTGCAAATGCTGCCCTACCTTCCTCCTTCCCTCTGCCCTCCCCCTCCCAGTTTTCACCTTCAGATGTGGTCTCATGTCTGCTCCAGACATCTTTTGGAGTAATATTCAGAGAGCTAAAGTGTTACCTGTAAGTGATGGTGGAAGAACGAGAAACATTTTCACCTCTTGGGAATCATATACAAACTGCTTTCTTCTTACAACTCCCCCACCCCCATCACTTGATATTCTCTTAAGCCATTTGCCCCCCAAATCTGTGCAGTATCTTGAACGTGCTTTATCATATTCATCTAATTATTTTCACTACCTCAACTACAGTCCATTTCTAAATTCTATCCATAAATCAAAATACCTAACCATGGCTGCTAAGTAAAGCAAAATAATAGTTACCATTCACTGGATAGCTATGGTTTTGTTACAGGACAGGGAGAGGGGCACCCTAGACCCCGCAAACCTGCCTGCTCTAAATAGGTTCTGCCATCCGCCGCATCAACACAAAACATATGAGACTTTAATGAAAAGGAACTTTAATACAATTAGGAAATGATACAGGAAAGGCAAAGAATATAGTTTCTAAATTAAGTACCCAAAGTTACCTGTCCACTGGTGGGTAAAAGTCTAAGCAGGATTGGCCCAGAGCAAGGCCCCAAAGCCTGCCACAAGTCTAAAGCATCTTCCAGTGGGGACCCACAGGAAAGCATCAGAAACAACCAGACAAATATGGGAGGAAAAGAGCAAAATCAAGACAAAAACTGCCATTGTCACCTCCCCATGGGTCTCTCACCCACATCTGCGTCACCCAGTCCACAACCAAAAGGCAAGCAGTTTCTTCACGTGTCTCTCGGCTCCACGTGCCTCCTCCAGGTCTCCTTCTGGCTCTATCTTGCTTCCTTCTTCAGTCTCCTCTGCAGCTTCTTCTCTCTCTGCTCAGCTCCACCCTCCTTTTGGGTGGGGCAGGAAACCTGGAACCTCCCCCTCTCCTGGGGACCACCCTGTTACAGTTTGACAGTCATTGTATTTAAGTATGATACATCATGTCAAAAAATAGAAAAGCTGAACACTTTGTATGAACTTGGATGTAGTAAAGAATGGTATCACACAGCATACTTTAGTGCTACTTGCTACTGTTGGGGTTTAGTGTGGGATTTCTTGAGTGCCTCTGAGAATGAGTCCAGCATAAGTGATTAAGTCTCAATAGAAACTTTATTTAAATTTGGTGTATATGAAATTGATGAACTTTTGCTCTATTTTGGACGAAGTTATATCAGCTTCTGCAGTGGCTTCAGCTTTTCAGATGCAAGGCACATGCCTCATCTTTCTTAACTCCTGATATAAACCCAAGTTTAGAGCGCTCTGTTCTGTCTATGGCAAAAAATACCAGTAGGAAAACTGTTTTCCTATATCTTCTTGACTTTATTTAATGTGCTCATTATTAATTTTCTCCTTTCAGGTTGTACCTACGACAGATCATATAGATACAGAGAAATTGAAAACCAGAGAACAGATTAAGTTTTTTGAAGAAGTTCTCCTGTTTGAAGATGAACTTCATGATCATGGAGTTTCAAGCCTGAGTGTGAAAATTGTGAGTATTATGATTTTTGTTTAAAATTAACTTCTTGGAATAAGCCAGAAAGAAAAAGAAAAATACCGGATGGTCTCACTCATAGCAGGAATCTAGAAAACTTAAATAAGGGACCAGGAAAATGAATAACTATAAGAGAGTGAAAATCAAAATCAACAAAAAACTATGAACCAGAGACACTCTATGGGGGGTGGGGGGCGGGGAGGGGAGGGATTGGGGTCAAAATAAGGGGGTTACAATTGTATGGGGAATATAAAAATAAAATTTATTTTAAAAAAAAATAATAAAAATTAACTTCTTGGGCCTCCCTGGTGGCGCAAGGGGTTAAGCTCCGCACTATAAAGCAATTCGCAGCCTCTGCAGCATGAGTTCACTTCCCAGCCGGCCAGGGAGCAACCCACATGGTGAAGCAGACCTCTCCTGACTCTGCCCACTGCTCCCCTCAGCAGTGTGTTTCAGTCAGTCTGCCTGTTCTGTTTCCCGCTCTGTCTCTGGTGAATCCTCTCACTCCCTGGATCTCTGGCCTGTATCCTAGCTCTTGTATGCATAAATAAATAAAAATATTTAAAAAAAATTAAATTAACTTCTTCTAGTCTTACCATTAGTCAGAAATAATACAATTTACCTCAGATCAACTTGATGTCATGTAAATATTAGTTTGTCCATTGTAATATCATTGTAAAATTAGTTTTGCATTAACAAAGCAATTTTTAATAGACCGGCCTGGCTATTTTGTGGTTTATTTGCTTATTACTTGGGAAGTTGACCTCCAGCCCAGACATGCTCCCCTTTGCCTCCTCCTGTTCTTCCCCCTAGTGGCCACCAACCTTAGTTCTTGAACTCTGGAGAAGTCCTAGAGCTGTATAGCTGGTTTGAAGCATCTGGATTAATGCTAAGCGCCCATGTCAGTCTTTTGTAGTTGTTTCAGGGGAGATGATGACTCCAGTGTCTTTATTCTGCCATATTGTGGGTGGACAATTTGTATGAAAATTATGACTATGCAGACAGCATAGTGGATGTCATTTTAAAAAGTGCTCTGTGTGCACTTTTAACTTCACTTTGCTTTTCAGCATAGAAGTGGAAAACAGAAATGACAAGTATAAATTCCTTCTTTAGTATTCTTTTCTATCAGTGTTATTGGTGGAACATGCTTTAAAAGAATAATAAATAGGCTGTTAGTAAACAACAATAGTATTCCTATTGTTTGCTTTTAGGTTGTGATTAGAATTCTAACTTTTCAGAAAAACTTCAACTGAAATTTTATTAAGTACCTTAAGATCCAGTTAAAATATCACCTCCCCTATAAGACCTTCCACAGCTTCTCAAGGAAGAATTAAATATTCCTTTTCCACACTCCTATAAATACTTTTTTTAACTCCTTAATTATAACACTTAAAAGATTTGCCAGAAAGATTGATTCTTGAAGACAGTGGGTGTTATGTTAAGCCATAATAAAGAATGAAACAATTATATAAAAGCAAAATACACTTGTTTTATTTATTTATTTTTTAATTTTATTTTTTGTGGGACCCTCACTGGCGACTGGGGAATGAACCGGTGCTGCAGAGGCTGCGGGCAGCCTCGCAGCCCAGCGCTCAACCGCTGCGCCACCAGGGGAGGCCCTACATTTGTTTTAAAGTCAAGTTTTTCTGTAGAAGCATAGGATTTTGGAATTGTAATGAATTTTTAAGTAATCATTTAGTCTTATAGACGAGATTCTAAAGGTTAGCTTAGATGGGGCTGGGAAACTAGTAACAGTTTTCTTTGGAAACCTATATGTATTATTCTAGCCTTAGATAATTGTTTTCTTACTCCCTTGTTCACATATAAGTCTCCCCCAATATCTTTTGTCATTTAGATTTATTCATCTCCCCCTCATCTACTCATGTGCTTTCCACTTGTCTACCCACCCACCTATGGGAGGAACTGACTGTGTTGAATGTTCATTTATGAGTTAGCACCCCTGGGTCTACATTTGTTCCCAAGTGGGTAGACATCTATGATGTAGATAAATGGGCAATATGTGGGGAGCAAATTGTGTGTTTTTGTGGATGAAGGAGCTGAGGGAAGTGTAGGTATAAATGTGTATGTGTGTACCAGAGTAAATAGTTAAGTCTTAAACTGAAGAGTAACTTCATAGTCATTGTAAAATGTTCTCTTTTTACCTAGGGTAACTTTTTAAAAATTATATGATTGGATTGCATCTTAAGAATGCCTAGAATGTTTTCATAAGAATAGTGTCTCTTCTAGGTTGGTTTCTTTTCAACAATGTAAAGATACTGCTCTAAATAAAAGAAACATCTTGTTTTCTGGCTTAGAAGTAATGACACATGAAAAAAAAATGAAGTTCCCTTTCAAGAAGCATAGACTAGCCAGTAAATAGAGATGTAAGCAAGAACCCAAGACGGTGGTGCCTGGGAAGCGAAGGGCGGAGAACATTCCAAGGAGGGTATGAAGGGCAGCGTCGTGCTATAAAGATGTGCTATAAAGGCTGTGACGATGTTCACTAGACTCAAAAATATGTTTATTGAGTTTAGCAATAAGGATGTTGTTAATTCATCTTGGTCAGTAATTTAAGTTACATGGTCATGGCATGTATGGAAAATGTATAGAGGGAGTGTAGATATAGATCAAACTTTGAAAAAGCTTATGGTATAGGAGAAGAAACAGATGTGTCTAAGAGAATGTGAGACTGACAGGGGGTGTGTGTGTGTGTGAGTGTGTGTGTGATTTTTTAAAAGTATGGGGAAGATTTCAGAATTCTAATTTTCTGGAAAAACTTCAACTGAAATTCACAGGAAGGAGTCACTTGTTGAGAGGGGAGAAAATGGTTGGCATGAGAAGAGGAGAAAGAGGAAGAGTATAAGCCTTTACTATATATATGGAGACACCATACTAGATAATTATCTATATCATCTCATTTAATCCTCAGGAAAATTCAGTGAATACTTTAATATCCTTATTTTACAGATGAGGACATTGAGGTTCAGAGATATTAACTTCACTACTATCATACATACTAGATCAACTTTTTTTTTTTTTTTTTTTTAAGATTTATTTATTTATTTACACAAGCACTGGGTACAGTCAGAAGCGCGGGAGGGTGAGAGAATTCACCAGAGCCAGAGCAGGGAACAGAACAGGCAGACCAACAAAGTACACTGCTGAGGGGAGCAGCAGGCGGCAGGAGAGGTCTGCGCACCATGTGGGACCCTCACCCGGCAGCCGGGTATCAAACCGGCGCTGCAGAGACTGCGGGCAGCTTCGCAACCCAGTACTCAACCGCTGCGCCACCTGGGAGGCCCCTAGATCAACTTTTGTTTTGTTTTTTTGTTGTTGTTGTTTGTTTTTTTTGTCCACATCTATTTAATTTATTATGTACTCTGCCGTAAGACAAACTTCCTTGCATGTAATTTGATGACATTACATACATTGGTTGCTCAGAAACATACCATGAGCTCAGTTCTCTTACAGATCACTCCTTTAACCTGACCTAGATCAACTTTTGACTCTGATCTTGTTCCTGTTTCCCTTGTGTAGTTCTCTAGGAGCCAAATCATGGGATGGAAGGATTAGCCTTAGAAAAGAAAGAGAGAGAGATGCTGCTTCCATGGCAGTAGGAGAAAAAGGGAGCAGGATATAGGGCAGTATGGCTCTAGCCCTGCGAGTCTCACTCCTGCAGTTTTAGCAGAATTATCTAGGCAGATTAGAATGTTAGTTGCCTTTTAACACATTAGGATAAAAGGAAATTTCTCCCTTGAATATGCATAGTACACTTGCTGTACCTTTGGTGTCTGGAAAGATGGATCAACAGATCTGGGAGTGGAGGAAATAGGTGAGAGGGCCTCAAAGAGGACCAACTCAGAAAATACATCAGTGTCTGCTGCCAGTTTCTGCTGGAGAAACTTGGGGCCATCTCCTCTATAAAATCTTTTTTCACATCCCCCGTTTTTATGGATAAGGGAGGAGATTTTGACTGGTTGAGTAACTTGCTCTAATATTGTGGTTCTCAATCTTGTCTAACCCCTTGCTCCTTTTATTACTCTTTAACCAAATATTTTAAGCATCCCTTCCCTTTACTACCCTTCAGTGAAATTCATAGATAATATAACCTACCTTTTCCATAAATCAACATAATGTCCCAATTACAAAAGGGAGATGAAAAGAAATTGATTTAGAATACATTATGTACTTCCATATGTATATGTACAGTCTACTAAAAGACCTCATGAAGTCAGCGCGTACTTATATTTGCATGTTGAGTCACTGTGAATGTGACAGCTATAAGTGTGGGCTGACAAGGTACCAGGTATCAGTCAGTGACTCAACACAATATGCACTGTCATTGTTGATAACATTTTTCAATTTGGTGAACAGCTTTTAGTGAAGTTCCAAATAAAGCAAAATATAATCTCTTGATTTACAAAGTAATCTCCTTCCTGGAAACTCTGAAGTTTATATTTATATGTAAAGTAAAATGAGATTCTAAGGCCAGGTGATGATAGATTTTTTTTTTTTAACCTATGTGAATTCGAGGAAATTTTGTGGGTGCAGGGTTGTACTTTTGTTATGTAGGATCGCTCTGTGCATTTCAGAATATCTAATATTGCTGGTCTTTAACTACTAAGTTAGTGCTGGTTATTTATCATTGTGACAACAGAAAATTACCACAAATTTCTAAGCATCTCTTAGGAGAGAACGACTATCTTAAAATAGACAGTTGAATTATAAAATTGAGACTAGAACTCAGGTCCCTTAATTCCTGGTCTCCCACTGGTCTCCTTCTCATCCTTAGTTCTTTTCCACGGTAGTTTCAAGTGTTGCCTTCTCTTTCCTTAGCAGAATTGGGTTCTTTCTCTGAGTGATAATTGAACTTTGTGCATATCTATGTTAAAGCAGCTATCAAACTGTTTTATCTGTCTTACTTTCTTTGAAGACCTGAATACCCTACACCCCATCCCACCCTGCCATCAGGACCCACCTTACTCTCTCCACTAACGCTGCCTTTTTTTCAGTGTTATACTTGGAAAGCAGAAATGAATAGGTGTGTCACAGAGGCATGATGTCAAGAACACCGTATAGTGATCTGATAAACCAGATTTTGGCAATATGAAATAGTACCTGCTTGGTTGAATTAGAGCATTTCATTATGGTCGCTTGTCTTATTTTATGTAAAATGAATAAAAGATGAGCAGCAACAAAGAGTTTGTTCTTTCATTTTGTTATACGCGTATTGACATTTATTATAAGTGCTACCATTTTTTAAAGTGAACATTATTTAATTTTCACATTCCTTAGAATCATTTTAAGTCTTTCTAACCTCATTATGTTTTGACCTAGAAGAAATATTTTTCTAGTGTAAGAAGTTGAAACCAGGATGTTAAATAATATAATGTAAACAAGGTTTTGAGCCTTAATTGGAACTAGGACCAAGCAAGTCTAGGTCAGAGATTTTTATATGCTACTAATTCAACCATCCTCTGACGCTTTAAATTTTTTCTTTTATTAATATTTAATTTTCATTAAAATATTAATGTACTTTTTTTTCTTTTCCAGAGAGTAATGCCATCTAGCTTTTTCCTGCTATTGCGGTTTTTCTTGAGAATTGATGGGGTACTTATCAGAATGAATGACACAAGACTCTACCATGAGGTATCTATTCTCATTTAATAAACATACTGATTCATATTGGGCTTGTTCATGTTGTAGTATCAATCTGAGAACTTGAAATTAAATGTTTTATGTCATAATGGCGATCCTTCTAACCTTTAAGATTGGCTGTTTTGCACTCACTATTGACTACACAGTTATTGAAACATTACATCTTTTTCAAAAATTATGGCTGCTGGTATGTCTTCTAAAAGACACACCACGGTAGAGTGTTCTTTCTAAAAATCCTGTGTGTTTCTAATCTGTGTTTTAGAAAACTATCCCTTGACTTGACTTTTACTTTATATGTAGTATGCCATTGTTTTTTGTTTGTTTTTTTTTAAGATTTATTTATTTATACAAGCACTGGGTACAATCAGAAGCGTGGGAGGGTGAGAGAATTCACCAGAGCCAGAGTGGGGAGCAGAGCAGGCAGAAGGAGCGAAGTACACTGCTGAGGGGAGCAGCGGGCGGCAGGAGAGGTCTGTGCACCATGTGGGACCCTCCTCTGGTGTCTGGGGAGCAGCTGGGGATCGAACCAGCACTGCAGAGGCTGCGGGCAGCTTCGCAACCCAGTGCTCAACTGCTGCGCCACCAGGGAGGCCCTGTAGTATGCATTGTTGATCTACTGTCCAGATACTAGAAATACCAATCACATAGCCTCCTAAAATTTGAATTATGGAATTATTTTGATAGGTGATCTAAAGTTTGAAAGCTCTGTGTTCCATTTGAAGGACTATTAGTATATAAAGTTTTTAAAAAATGTTATGAAAGGGGGGATACTTAAACTGAGTCATGAAATTCCTTTTACTGGCTTCATAGCATCCTATGCTTTTTGAATGGATTTTTTCACTTCAAATTTGTGGTCATGTAGAATAATGAATTAGAGAGGAGACTAGGAGAACTGGGACTTGAACCCACTAGGAAGGATTACATTGGTGTTTTCTCAAATTCTACACTAGGTTTATTTGGGGATGAAGAGGCACCTTTTAAAAATTGGTACAGTGGACTTCCCGGTGTGCAGGGGTTAAATCTCGGCATTATTACTGCTAAGGCCTGAGTTTGATTCCAGTCCAGAGAGCTGACCCACATCGCACTACAGACCTCTCCTGTCTTGCCCACTGCTCCCCTCAGCAGTGTATTTCAATAGATCCCCCTGTTTTGCTCTCCACTCTGTCTCAGTAATCCTCTCACCCCCTTGTACCTCTGACCTACACCCCAGTTCTTGTATGCATAAATAAGTAAAATAAATCTTAAATTAAAAAATAAAAATTGGTACAAATTATCATGTACACTAATCAACAGATACAGGTATCTGTTTACAGTGAAGGGTGAAGTGGGTCTTAGGGCTGTCCCAATTGGAGCCACAATTCCTCCTCTCTTTTCTGGGTCCAGACAATCCACCCATCCCTTGGTCCCCCTTCTCAGTCCATACCCCAGCCAGTTCCTGTTCCCTTAATTCTCAATTGGTCTCACTTTTTTTTTTTTTAAGTTTTTTTTTTTTTTAATTTATGCATACAAGAACTGGGATAATGGCTAGAGGGGTGGGGGGGCGGTGAGAGGATTCATCAGAGACAGAGTGGGGAGCAGATTAGGCAGATCTACTGAAATACACTGCTGAGGGGAGAAGCGGGCAAGACAGGAGAAATCTCTTGCACCATGTGGGTTAGCGTCCTTGCCAGGGATCAAACTCATGCCACAGTGGCTGGCCATAGCACTGAAACTTTAATCCCTGTGCCACCAGGGAGGCTCTCAATGTTGAATTTTAGAAAGCAAGCATGGATTTCTGTAAAATCTTATGTAGGGATTTCTAAGTGTTAAGGATATATTATCTATAGAAGTTGTGATTACTTATGATTTATATTCTGCACTTTTAAACTGGTTTTTATTACAATTGCCATTAATCTGTTTTATTGATATAAATGTTTGAAATTTCAAAGGAGTATAATCTTCTGGTTCCTCCTATATTAAATAACATTTCATCAAAAAAACAAATTGTAATAAATTGCTTTCTAAAACCTAACTTAAACAAATTTAAAAAATTGAAGCACAAAAAAAGTGATTTTAAATAAGCAACTTGGCAAGAATTTTGTGGAAAATGAAAAGAATAAAATTTGTTTCAACTTGTATATGGACATAAAAGTAGCTACAATTATGTAGGTAGAGATAATATAGCTTAAGGAAAAGATGTGGCCCCAAACTTGAAAAATATGATAACCTTTGCATACCCCATTTATATTCATACATATTTCCTTTCGAAGTAACATTTTTGCCTGCATTTTTCTTATATGATAATTATTAAATCTATTTATATATATGTATCTGATATTACTGTGATTTATAGAAATGAATTAATAATTCAGAATTCCTGATGAAAAAGTTATCTCCCTGTGAATAAGATATTGTCAAATTTCATTCTACTTTTACAACCTGTTCTCAAATGTAGGCAGTTCTGTATAATAGAAAGCATTTGTCATCAATGTAAGTAAACTTAATACATCATTTTTTTTTAATTTTAAACATAGGCCGACAAGACCTACATGTTACGAGAATATACATCACGAGAGAGCAAAATTGCTAACTTGATGGTATAGTATTTAAATATCCGTTTTTAGAAGTTGTTAGTATCCCCCCCATACCCTACCCAGCACCCAAATTTACATCCCTAAATCTGTTTGTTCACCTAATCAGACTTTATAGGATAACTCCGACTTTTCTGAACTTACCTCAAATACAAGAAAATCACAGTTGGTCACAGTTTTTTAGGTATCACTGTAGTTATCATCCAATCTAATTTCCACAGTTTACGCTGGAAAAACAAACCCAAAGGTGTGACTTACAGCAAATCACACAGCTGGATAGTGGTAGAGCCACATCTGGCACCAGTTGGATAGTCTTTCCACTAACTACCCTGCCACCCTGTAGTTTCTTTTATTCTTCCTAAAATGTGGTCATTCTTTTCCATGAACTTGTTGTTTTGGCATAACTTTGCTTTGCTTTTTGCTCCCTTGGGACTGATTCGGGGCTTCTACAAGTCTGTACGATTCCCCAGTGGATTGCTCAACAAATGGTACTTTCCTCATTCAGTCACAAGAGATAGCCACTGTAATTAAGAACACCAAATGATGCTCCTTGTAAATACATATATTGAACTAGGGCATGCTTTCTGAATGCTTGAACCACAGCATTTTAGTGGGAATGCAATAACTGAATATATGCTAACATAAATTTATGTATTTCCTAGCACGTTTCACCTTCCCTTTTCACCGAACCTAATGAAATATCACAGCATTTGCCGATAAAGGAAGCAGTTTATGAGAAGTTATTATTTCCCGAAAGAATTGATACAAATCCTGCAGACTCACAAGAAAATACACCTGTGAATAGAATGTGATACAACATGTACTCATCGTGGAGTCTGACTGGAGACCATGGTTGTTTCAAGGGAGTATTTTTATTATGAGAATTAATTGCCTTGGTCAATGTGCAGATTTTCTGGCACCTTAAAGGAAAAATAAATAAAAGATTGTTGCAGGCAGGTTCCATTCGACTGCTGTTTGTATTGTTTATCTTCAAATTTATAGTCCAGATTTATATTTCCTGGAGTTAAATGAGGATTTCTAAATTGCCACAAAGTAGGACCTCACCAGTAGTGATGTGCTGTCTCCTGTGTGTGGGCCTAATCGGCCTCTATCATGAGACCCTACCTGTGGGGGAGATTAACTTGAAATCACTGATTGGCAGAACCTGGGACTTTCCCAGAGCCCTGCTCATGCCTGCTGCTACTCCGCCCTTTCACCTGGAGCTCCTGGAGGTTTATTCGCACTTCTGGAGAATCATCACTGGCCTCCCAGGAATTGATCTTATACTTTAATGATCTTCCCCCTACAAATAACATAAAAGCATTTTGCCCCTTAAGTTTTAACTGGTTTTTGTGGTTCAAGGAAAATTTCAGACATAGAACCATAAAACTTAGTTTTTGTGAGAACTTAAGCTGTTGTGTCCATGGAAACACATGAACATGGTTTGCCCCGACAGGTAGGGCATCGAGATGTCTTTCCTCCATCGTTAGGTGCTTTTTCTTATGTGTGGTTCTACTTCTACGGACATTTTTTACTTCATCTTCTGTGCATGCTCTGAGTGACTAAATTAATACTGAATTTGGAGTTGATCCTAAAAACGTTATTGAAGAGTTAATGTGGATTGTTTCTAGCAAATATTACTTCATCCACTAAAGCAACCAGATTACTTTTCTACTTAAAATATTTGAGGGAGAGCTGTAGAGGAGGAATGGGCTAAAAAAAAGTCAGTTTTTCTGTTTTATTAAGATTCATGTTTTTTAACATTACAGGAATCTCATAAAATGTAATTAATTAGTACAGGACCTGGGTAGTATAGCATGTACCCAAAAGTAAATTTAAACTCCATTTGGTTATTTTGATGATGACCCTTTAAACATTTTATATTCTTTCCTGTCTTTCTAAATGGTCTTCATAAAGTGGGAAGTGGTTATAGAGCACCAAGTAAGGAATTACTTGAACTGGATTTTTTTCCATAATTTTTTACAGGGCAAGGGGAAAAGTCAACCCCCTGTTATTTCCCCCCTTGTTTGAAATAACTTGCACATAGTTCTGCTTAATTCATAAATTATAAAGAATATTTAATTGAAAGTATTAACCGCTCTCCTGGTATTAGCCTAAAGATACATTGTAGCAAAGAAAGTCTAACTGGATAGTCATCATTACTGGAACTCTGTAGTATTGTTATTTAAGTAACTTTACTAGCTAAATATGGTCACAAATAGTTTTGTTATTTGTTTGCCTTCTGCTGCTTCACTTGCAAGGTACAGGAAATCAAGATTTTGTTGACTTTGAGAAGACACATGGCATGTTCACTGTATATTAAATATACCTGTATTTAATGCTTTCTCTTAGTGTATATATTGTACACAGCTCTCTGTTTCCCCCCCCATACAGATTTGAACAGAACAAACTATTCATACAAATTATAAGAAATGAAAACTTGTAAGAATAATTCATTAGTTGAAGTTTCTAGGCCACATTATATTATATATATGTATTTAACTTGATTCAGTTGTCATAGTCCCTTACTTAATCTTAGATTACTTATTTTGAGAATCCACTGTTAAAAATTGTAGAGAATTAAAGAATTGCCTTTTTTTTTTTCTCAATAGCAGGTGGAAGGTAGATAGGAGAATGTACTTCTGAAAACTTCATTAGTTTAATCCTATACAGACTACCAAGAAAACCTGTATTTGCCATTGCTAAATAAGACATATGCCATTTTATATTTATTTGTTCCAGTGTGTCTTTTTCTAAGAGGAGAATAAACAATAAGGAATTACTGATCTATGTTTTACTATTTCATTTATTTCAGTTGTTTTGGAAGCCTAATTAAAGAATGGTTTGTTATACACTTCTCATTTGTGTTTTATATTTTGAATTTAGTCTACAATGTAGCCTGATTCTCCAGACACATAAATGAAAATTTAACAGTTCAGAATATAATCCCTCAGTTAGCATTTGGGCTCTTTTTCTACCTCTCTTCTGTATCCCTAAACTTCTATGCAGGTTTTAATTAGCCACTGCTTACTGAATGGCAAGCTAATGTTTTCTGCTTTATAAAAATATAAATACCTGTCATATGGACCATGCTGTGTGGCTTTGAGTACTCTGTGTCCAGTAAGGTACCAGGTGCAAAGGATTGCACTGAAGGGCTAGAGTGACTGGAGGTAAGGTCTAATGGAGGAGACAAAGTAAAAATAATTACAAATTTTAATAAGTGCAATGATAGAAATAATACTAATTTAAAAGAATAATAAAATCAACTTTAGTCGAGTTGATTGTAAAAAGCCCGAAGAGAATGTCATTCCTAATTTAGCAAGGTGAAAAGGCTGGGTAATCTGTGAAACTACAGCTTTTCTTGAAACCATGACAGATCTGAGATTGCAAGGCAGAGTCAATTGAATCCTAAAAAGTGAGAAGTCCTTCAACAAGTAATGGGACACACAAATTGTTTCTTAGAAAGACCATGAGAAAGAGGTGGCCACGGGTTAAAAAAAAAAATCAGCTAATGCTTAAGTTGTTACAGGCTACTGTGGGCTATTGGTTTGGAATAGCTGAGAGTTTCAAATAAGAGGACTTTATACTCGTGCTTTTTTCCCCAAAGGTTCACCCCAGATGCTCACCAGGAACACTGGGGATGGGCAAAGGACCAGAAAATCCCTGTCAGAGGTTGGAGGAAATTGGCTGTTGCTGAGGGTTAGTAAGAAACCCTGTCCACTTCCTCCAGACTCTTCTCTCTCTCTTAGGCTTCCTGAGAGAGGAATAACATCTTGCCACCCCCAGGCAAAAATCCAGTATTTCTGAGGGAGGAATTAAGACAAAAAAAAAAATCTGCCTCTGGAGGAATAGCAAATGTTTTGCCTTCAGGGCATGAAGAATCATCACTCTTAGAGGGAGGACAAGTGAAATGCCCTCTGACCTTGGAGGGGGGGCAGAAAAACCTAGGCCTCTGCACCTATATGAATACACAGTCATGGGCAAGAAAATTCCACAAGATCAACAATAGATTAGAGGCAGAGTTCAGTTATCCCTGGAAATGGAGCAAGAATGCTGAGAAAGCCACACCTGTAAGACCCAAGCCCTCAAAGCATGCCAAAGACTGAGGCTAGCCAAGACCAACTGAAAAGCTTCCTGTGTTCACCAAAAGCCTAGTACTAAGTAACAAGGACCACCGGCCTACCTGGGGAAGCAACTAGAGACAGACCCTTTCTGTGAGGCAGGCATCCCTGAAAGTTGAGGGCAAAACTCAAAACAAGAATCCTGCTCTCCAGGTGCACTCTAAGCATAAGATAGTAGTCAGCCACTGGAGGAATTTGAAGTTCAGGATGTATGACCTAACAATAGCAAGAATATCCAAGCCCAGATGAACTATTTATAGTGATACACTCCCAAACAAATGGGCCCACAGAAGTGTGCACATGTTCTGATGAAAACATGACATGTTTCATTCCTTGTTATACACCTAATGGCATTCCCATTCATTATTCAGTTGAATAATGGCATTTGATCAAAAATGTCATAATGACATGACATTGAATGAAATGAGGTTATTAGAGGTACTACAGAATGAGGTTATTATATGCTATACTTCATATGCTAACACGTTTACTTCTTACTATAATGTTCAGAGATAGTCATTTGTGTTCACTTTACAGATGAGAAAATGGAGGATCAGAAAAGTTAGTAATGAGTTCAATGGCAGCTAGTATGTGATGGTGCTAGAGCTGCAACTCACATATCTTCCTCAGTGGGTGGATTTCCTACCGTGTGCTGTTACCCTGAGTCGTGAAGATGTATAGGGATCTATTTGAGTGAAACAAGGGGGAAAAGAACAGCCAACAATAGTAACAGCATTTGTCATTCATGATCTGTGGTGTGAACTAAAATGATAAAACAGAGGGTATTGAGTATCCATAAAGAAACCTCACCAGCGGTGTGTTGTGCGGGGTACTGTGCAAACCCCTTCGCTTGGTTGATTTATAATACTTTACAACGCCCAAGTTCTCGTTAACATGTAAACGTTCTCCATCCAACTACAGCTCTTACTGTATTAAGTGTTCTCGTTTGTGCACGCGTGTGTGTAGGGGGTGCTGGGGAGATTCTCCAGTGGGTGGTTCTGGTAACCTCCTTTGTTTTTCTGAGCCCATGTAATCTTGAAGTTAGTTTTTGAGGCAGTTCCCAGCAAGCAGTTCACGAAGTGAACCCTGGGCCCGTCTGTGGCAGAGTCCTGTGGTTTCATGCATTCTGCAAGACAGAATCATTAGCGCTTAGGTCTGGTCTGAGGTCAGTAAAACAGGCCACTCAATAAACACCAATCTAGTATTCCTTTTCCCACCCCCTCACCAAGTTCTACCGTCCCTCAAGGTTTTCAGCTGGAATTACATTTGTATTTTTCTTTCGAATGCTTTCACGAAGTTCGTTATAGACTGAATTTATTCCAGTTGGTCCCAAGGATTTTTAAGCTCAACACATTTGTTCACAGATCTGGGGGCTGAGGTGTGAATCCATCGTCACATGAAGAGTGATGGGAGGAGAGGGCAAAGCACGTAGTAGGTCCTCAGTGTTTGTTGATTGATTCTCCGACGGCTCCGTGAGGCCAGCAGGTTTGAGCTGGAATGCGACGCGGGACGCAGAAGCGACGTGTAGCGAGCTCGGTGGACCTGAATCCCAACTCCTCCAGAGAGCCCCACCTCCTTCGACCAAAACCAGCCGTGAAAACAGGCGGAGCGAACGTGGGCGGCGGGCTCGGGGGCTCGGAGCGCCTGCGCCGGCCGTCGCCAGGTGGGCAGGTACCTGGGCGGGGCGCGCCGTGATTGGCGGCGGCGGCGGGGCGGTGGCAGGGGCGGAGCACCCGGAAGAGCCCGGGCCGAGGCCGGCGCAACAGGCGGCCGAGGAGGGGCAGGAGCTGGTGGACAGGCCCCGGGATGGACAAGCTGAAGAAGGTGCTGAGTGGGCAGGACACCGAGGACCGGGGCGGCCTGGCCGAGGTGAGTGCGCCCCGGCGGTCCGCGCGCCCCAGGCTTCGGCCCGGGCTCGAGGCGCGGGGACCAGGTGACACCCGATGGGCTCTCAGCTCGCGGGCGCTGGTGGGTGGCGAGCGCGGAAGGCGAAAGCGGCTTCCAGGATTTCCTGGAAAGCAGATCAGCCTCTCCTCCTCCTTCCTTCCCTGCAGGGCCCCGCGGGGACCCCCGCTCACCTCCACGCCCCACCCGCCACACGTGCGGGAACCGGCGCTTCGTCCTGGGAGGTCGACTTGGGGTTACTTTTCTGTCCCCTTGGCCCGCCCTATACCCCCCGCAAAGAGTGGGCGGCGCTGGAGCAAAATCCCAGAAACTTGTGCGAAGGGGAGGGCGGCCTTCGAAAGTGGCTCCGCTCCATCCGTGTGGACGCAGGGAATGGGCTAGAGCGCCGGGGCAGACGTGGGGTGCGCGGAGCCTGGAGAAGGGAGTCCCCCTGGGGAGATCCTGGGCCGGTGGTCGCGCACGGCGCGGCGGGGCGGGAGGAGTTCCCGGGTGCTTGGCCTGGTTGGAGTTGGGGTTGTGGGGTGTGACTCTCCCACCGGCTACGGGCCGGCACGCCTCCTTGTTGTCTCCTGTCTCCACCGCGAAACCAGGAACTCCTCAGGGACAGGTCCCGCATCTTGTTTCTCTGCGCCCACACTCTTTGCACTTTGTGGACACCCAAGGACCTCCTGACACTGCGTGCGTGTGTGTGTGTGTGTGTGTGTGAGTTATTAGCACGGTTTTGATCGAGCTGAAATCTTTGCTAGAGGCACACGGAATGTTGACATTTTCCCTGTTTTGTATGCTTTTAGTCGTTTTTGTTGTCCTTTCTAGATTGCAGAGTGACAATGCTCTTTACTTTTTGGTGTATTCCCTCGGGCTCAGCTTCCCCATCAGTACAATGAGATTTTGAAAATGATGACTTTGGGGTGGGGTCTTCAACTCGAGACCTAAGTTTTTTCTCTGATTTCAGTGGGTTTCTCGTGGTGTTCTCAGCGCGCTGCTGCATCCACTTCTGTTTATTCCAAGTTTTGTATGATTCCACCCCCTCCTTAAAAATGCAGAACTGTAAAATGTACTCTGTGAATCGTCACCTTGAAAAAGTAACACTATAGGAATCCAGTGTTGCAGAAACTGGGGTTTAACTCTTTATTGACATTGGAGAGCAGTTAAATTTGTTGCCTTTAATAATTGGCCAAGGCTCAGGAGTAATTCCTTGAGTTTTTTGTGCTTGGTTTCTGTTCTTTTTTTTTTTTTTTTTCTTCTATTATGAACTCTCAAGTCAAACCTTAGCCTGGACCTAAGACAACTTGGTTGACAGTCATACTTATTACCTAAAGCTGATGTCTCCCATAGATTGTCAACAAACTTTTATAAGCAGCTGAGGTTCAAGAGGGAAGCAGAGCCGACACAGATATTATATTTCCAAAGTAATCCCAAGCAGTGGGCAAGCTCTTAAGAGTGAATGATATAATACAGGTTAAAAATGAAAACGCTGAGGGCCTCCCCAGTGGCGCAGTGGTTGAGCGCTGGGTTGCGAAACTGCCCCTGCAGCGCCGTTTCCATCCCCGGCCACCAGGCGAGGGTCCCACATGGCGCGCAGACCTCTCCTGCCGCCCGCTGCTCCCCTCAGCAGTGTACTTCGTCAGTCTGCCTGTTCTACTCTCCACTCTGGCTCTGGTGAATTCTCTCACCCTCCGGCGCTTCTGACTGTACCCAGTGCTTGTATAAATAAATAAATAAATCTTTTAAAAAAAAAAAAGAAAAGAAAACGCTGAGTTTCTTTTTTACCTAAAATGGTGAATACCCATGTTGAACACAATGAAGAGCTTTAGAGTATTGTAAGCTCAGGCATATGTTAAGTCTATCTTAAAAAAAACTAGGTGCTTCTCTTGTGTTCTAGAAAACTGCTGCCTCTTTCCGAGTGTGAGATTCCTGTTTATGTGCATCATTGTATGCTATTTATTTGCAGGGTTGTTTTGGTTCAGATTTTACTTATGGGGTCGGGACTTCCTTTTAAAGTGTTGGTACCGGCTTGACATTTCTATGGTTTTAAGGCTAGCAAAGCTGGAGGATTACGTGGTGAAATTTCTGCTGTGTGTGATAAGTTGAACCAGGTGACCTAACTTAAAAGTCTCTCTAAATTCAGTCCTATAAGCTGTCAGAGGCCATTAGAAGTGAGTGTTTTAAGCTTTTTTTTTTACTCTTTGAATGCAAATAATAAATGATTGACTAGTTCTGTTTCTTCTACATCAGAAAGCAGGTAACTATGAAAATCACTTGGCAGTGTCTAATCACCAGGAGGCTCTTGATGTTTCCCAAATTGATACCTCGTCTTCATGGTACACTTTGAATCTATAATTTCAGTGATTTTCTTTCCCAAAATATAGGTTTACATTGTTTTATAAAGAATTCTAGAGACAAAGGAGGTCTGAATGGTATTGGTTTGCAAGCACAGGAATGAAGTATTCCTTTATCACTGTCTTCTGGTTACCAGCCCTGTTTCCCCGAACAATTCTTAACTTCACTTCTCTTTGGCAAGAGCCCCTGCTCCCCTGACCTTGTCCCAGAGTCAAAAAGACCTTTGTGCATAAAGTCAGCTTATGAACAGATTGCCCACAAATTCCATCCAGGTACTCCTTTAGCAACTCTAATTTCCAAAAAGTATGGTAGCAGTTTCCAGCAACTGTGACTTTTGAGAGACATTTTATATCAACTGAGTTTGTTTTCCTAAGTTGGCAAGAAGTATTGAGCTTTCATAGGGACTAGTGAAAAGAAGTGGAACAGCAGCTTCCCCCTTCCTGTGGGCAAGTGTGCATGTAAAAGCCTGCAGCCACACAGCATGGAAAACCAGTGGTGAAAAGTTACAGCCCCCCCCCCACACACACACATTTTGGTGACATTTGTATGGAATTCAGCTGGAGAGACCTGTCAACCCAGGATGTCGCTTCCTTTCTGAAAGTAGAAACCAGCAAAGCTTCCTATTGCCAGTGATTTTCATTCATTTCACAGGGCTGGGAATCTCACCATCCTCTTGCGACTATTTAGTATTCTCAGTGCCAAGGCCAATTCAGATTTGATACTTATCCTTATCGTTTATGCTCTTTGTAAACAAAGGTTGAATCTTTTTTTAATTATCCCTGTTGATAACTACATAGCACTCAGGCAGCACTTCCAATCCAGTCTTCCTGCCACACTTTCTTCCCTACATGCAGCTTGGTTCTTCTTGCCACCTTGGTGAGGTAAGTTCTTTGGTACTTTAGTATTTGCATGGTACTTGCTTTTGATTTTATTTTGTCCTTGCTGGGAGGTTGAGTAGGTTGTTCAGAAGTGGCCCCAGCTCATGGTCCAGGAGTCAGTGAGGCCTGATGTTTGTGTGGCTCTTGACTCATTGGGGAAGAAAGGTTTCCTCAGCCTGGAGCTGGCGGCCCTCTGTCAGGTCCTCAACCTCTCCCTCTGCATGTGCCAGCCCTGAGTGTGCCTTTCTCTGCAGGGCCATATGTTGCTGCATTTTTATGCAAGTGCTGTGTGTGTGTGTGTGTGTGTTTGTGTGTGTGTGTACACATGTGTGTTTGTGTATTGCAATGTTCTATGACCATTTTCAACTTGTGTGACTATACTGGAGTAGGAGGGGAGCCCCTTTGATAATCTACCCTAAATACCTTTCTCCAGAGTGGAGAGGAAGCCATTGTGTCGCAATGTCCTCCCCACTGGAGAGCCTCTGGTCCTTTCTTCAAGCTTCTGGCTTGACAGGAAGTTTGGAGACAGATTTGGAACAGGTCCCTTAGCTGGGAGTGGTTAATGCTGGGGAGTGGCCAGTGTATTTGTTATAGAGCAACCCCGATATTAAACGGGTTCCTGGCTGTGGGTCCTCACCCGCGCGCTTTAAAGGGACTTATGAATACTCTACTACAGACACACGCAAAAGGGTTAATAAAAGGTTTATTTACAAGAGAAAAAGAAATAAGGAAAATGTGCAACTCAGGGAGAAAATAGGGAAATAAAGTCTTTAATGCGTCCTACCCGATCCGACGACCTGGAAACCCCAAAGTCACTCTCAGAGCTAGACGGACGCCGCGAGCTGGCCGAGGGCCCCAAAATGGAGAGACCCCCAAAGCCCACGTGTCTGCCTTTTGTATCCACCTGGCTGCTTAACCCCACCCTCAGGTCCCAGCCACCTTCCCTTTGGTGGTGATGGGATTTGGAGTTCCCAGTGTCTTTGGCTTTGACCTGGGGTGGGGGTGGAGTCCACAAAGCCTGTATGGAATTTGCTTTGGGACTGCCTTTTCCCCCTAACATATTGACCCCAGCTGTGCAGGCAGCTTTCCCCACAGCGTTGGGTGCAGGGTCTGTGTGGCACACAGGGGAGCCCTGTATGAACACAACCAGACCTGGCTGTGGTCTGAGGGGCGGCTGCCTGTGCCCAGTTGGCAGCAGGTGTTGTCCTTTGCACCAGGGGGGCAGACTAGGAGGGTCTCTGGTACATGGGAGAAGAGCAAACCCTTGGAAGTACTCACAGGCTTCTGTTTTAGCAGACTGGGAAATCTTGGCCTCCTGTGAACTTTGCTCATGAGAGGGATTAATCATGGTGGCAGAGAGTCGGGATGAACAGGGCAGTGATTAATTAGCTGGGCTCTGTCTCACTCTTGGTTGACCTGGTTAATGCCAGCACCTTGAAGGGCATCACCTGCACCAAGAGCCAGTAGCTCCCATGGGAGTCCTGGTAAATGAGAGTGTTAGCGCCCCTCCCCGCTCCTGCCCTGCCTTGAGGTCCCAGGATGCAGGCAGGAGCACCAGCTGCTGAAGTTGGGCCTGTGGACATAGGAAACCAGGCCCCAGGGTGCATCTCTCTGTGTGCGGCCTTTTCCTTATTTCCCCACAGGCAGAATGGAGCTCACGCTGACTGACTAGGCCTGGGCTCCTCAGAGTCTGCCGTCTTGCCTTGCTGTTTGTGAAATGCATTGTGCTTGAGGCAAGAGTCTCCCCTCTGGACATGTCTAGCATCTAACCTAGCCTCTGCTGGCTAGGAGATGCACAGCTGGATAAGGAGCTGGATTATTCCCAGAGACTCCTGACAGCGCGTGTTGCTGCAGGACTCTGCGTTCCTATCTTGCTCAAGGCACACTCAAGCACTGCCTCTAAATCGAATGACCTGACTCCTTTGTGTTTGGTGATTAGATATACTTATGCATATGTGTAATCAGATTTTTTAAAAATTTCAGGTTGTAGAGGCATCTTCATTAAGCTGGGGAACCAGAATAAAAGGTTTCGCTGCTTGTTTTGTTGCAGGAATTGTCTGCTCACTGCTGGTAAGACCACCTGCCCTTCCTCTGTCTTTTCCCCCAGCCTTCCTTTTCCCTGTCTCTCTTTCATTCACCTCCTTTTCTATTTTGCTCTTCACTGAAATGCATGGATCAGAGGAGAGGGTGTGAGAGGGGGTGAGACCTAGGCTTTCTGTCCTGTGGCCCCGAGGATGGGGCTCTCATGTGCCAACCTGTGCTTTATTTTGCAGGGTACTTTTCTGCTCTGGGTGCCCAAGAAGGGACTCTACCTCTTCGCAGTGTTTTATACCTTTGGTAACATCGCATCAATTGGGAGGTAAATAGATATTTTTTAATCTAACTATCTCCATTTACTAGATGGGAAAATGGGCATGGATTGTGCTTAAGGGACAGTGGGTGCAAGGGAGGATGCTTCAGTAGTTTTAAGGATTTGGAGAGAAAAGATGTGGTTAAAATATATCACCTCCAAATCCTAGCACTTTGTAATATTTTATTATTTATTTTTTGAAGTAACATTGCATTATAACAACTAAGTTTTAGGTGTGCATCTTTATACAAAGTATTTTATTTTTTGGAGTTTGAGAATATTTTCTTTTTCTTTTTTTTTTTTTTAAATAATAACTTCTATTTTTATATTCCCCATACAATTGCAACCCCCTTATTTTGACCCCAATCCCTCCCCTCCCGCCCCCTACCCCCCAAAGAGTGTCTCTGGTTCATAGTTTTTTGTTGATTTTGATTTTCACTTTCTTACAGTTATTCATTTTCCTGGTCCCTTATTTAAGTTTTCTAGATTCCTGCTATGAGTGAGACCATCCGGTATTTTTCTTTTTCTTTCTGGCTTATTTTGCTGAGCATGATCCCTTCCAGCGCCATCCATGTTGCTGCAAATTGCATGTGTTTATCTTTTTTGAATGCTGAGTAATATTCCATGGTGTATATGTACCACATCTTCTTGATCCAGTCATCTATTTTTGGGCAGTTGGGTTGTTTCCAAAGCTTAGCTATTGTTTATACAAAGTATTTTAATGTCTTAGTTTGTCTTTGAAATGTCCCTGGGAGAAAGCAGGAACGGTATCACTGCTGTGATTTCACATAGGAGGACCCTGAATGAGTCTCAGCTTGAATGAGTCCTTCAAAGTCTATAACCCAGTCGTCTCCTGTGGTCCAGTCTTCCTGTGGCCAGAATCTGAATCAGGGATTTTAAAAGGACTCATCAGGCCAGTGGTGCAGGTGACACATGGTACTCCTTAGTCTAAGACCATCTCAGACCCGTGGACGCACAGACTCAGGTCATGGTCATTCAAACCAATGATCCAGCCACACCTGTGTGCTGACACCACCAGTTCTGTCTGCAGCTGGAGTACCACCCTACTCCCAGAAGGACCAGTTGCAACTTGAACTCAGCCGTCTGCCCTTCCCCTTCCCTATTCATTCCCTGTGTCTCTGTGAGCAGCCTCGGCATACTAGGTATCCAAGCCCCACCTCCCACCCTAACTCTGTCATTACTCACCAAGCCTTGGTATTGACCTCTTCCTGGCTCCTTCTTCTTTATCTCCGTGACTGTTGTCCCTTCCTGATTGACTCAAGGCTCAGAGACTAAGCCTTGACAACCTGTGTGCTTGCCTCTGAGGATTCAGAGATAAGCAAGTGTGGTTCTTACTGCAGTAGAACTCAGTGGGGGGCTAGGCAGACAGACATTTCAACTCTTAATGTCATAGAAGATGGAGAAAGAAGCTGAACTGATATAACCTGAACTTGAGAGCCAGGGAGGGCTTCCTGGAGAAGGTGATTCCTGAGCTGCTCTCAGGTCTGGGTCGCATCATTCTCACCTGGATGCTACAGGGTCCTCATGTCTGTTTCCCTCCTCCTTCAGTGCCCCAGTTTGGGCATTTTTTCACAGAACTGTGGAGCGGTTCACTCACAGTCCTGATTAACCAGTGGCTCCTCTTCCCTATTGATGGTCCATTCTGAAGCCCTCTGTATGTGAGGCCCTTCCAGATCTGGTTTTACCCAGCCCCACTTCCTGCTCCATGTTCTCCCCAGCTGGGCTGAACTGCTTCCATTTCTCCAAATATCTTTGTTCCTTTGTTCATGCTATTTCTCTGCTCAGAATGCTACCCCAGCCACACCTTCTGCTCTGCCTCCTGAGGTCCCCAGTGTGGTCGATTCTTATTCACTTGTTAAAATCTGACTCAGAAATCACCTCTTCTTTGAAACGCCTCCTAATTACTGTCTTCCCTGAGAATCAGTGACCTCCTCCTTCATATGGGGCTCTGTGGATCCCTCCATGCCTGTGAGACAGCTAGCATTTTTCCACATTGTTACAAGGCCTTAAGCCACTTGACAGGAGCACAACTCCATCTTACTTGTTCCTGATTGCCCGAAACTAGCTCTGTTTCTGGCTGTATATGTTAATGCAGTGATTGTGTTGCTCTGGCCACCTTTTTAAAGCTTGATTTATTAGTACTTAGGACAGTAAAATACTGGCCTTCAGAGGTGTCTAACCTTGCCTTCAAAACTCTCAAATACTAACTTTGGAAGGGCATTTTGCTTTGGGCATTGTAGGTTATCATGTAATTTGGACTGAGCATCAATCTATGGGTGTGTTGGTTAGTTCATAAGAACTGTTGAGCACATCCTAATGGGACCAGCTCTCTGCAGCATGGCCTGCGGAAGTGAGAAAGGGAGCAAATTGTTCATTCTAGGTGTCTTTAGGCGTTTGCAGCTTCACCTATAATCTGTTATATTTTTGTGTATAGTTGACCCTTGAATAAAGTGGGGCGAGGTGCACCGACCCCACACCACCCCCAGTCACCATGCACACTCCACTTGAAATTTCACGTTCCTTTTTCACTGGAGTGATGGACTGATCCATGGAGATAATTAGTGTCACCTGGCATTTTAAGTGGATATTTGTACCACTTGAACACAGATTGCAACAGGAAGTGGCTGCAGAGTGTTAGTACCACATGCACGGCAGTTGGTTTGTGCAGTTTTGACTTAATACTGAAACTTTATGTGTGTTTACATTTCTCCCAACTGCAAAAGGTGCCATGATATGGTCTGTTTAAGTTTCATGACACACATTTTCTTAATTTTCTCCATATTTCTAGGCTATAGACATCTGTGAGTTTTTTCAAATTGTCATGATCTCCAAAAAATTTTCCAGCATATTTATTGAAAAAAATCATTGTGTCATTGGAACCACATACTTCAAATCCGTATTGTCCAAGGGTTAACTGTATACACTGTGTTTAATTTTTAAGAACAGCCTGGGCTGTAGCTTCTTGTTCAGTGTGGGCTAAGTGCACTCTTAAAGGTTTGATCTGAGCATATAGCTTGAAATTCAAGTTGAAAACTTAATGGTATATCCAAGCGAGGTAGATTAGTTTTCTTAATTTTTGCTTGTTGTGAGCATTTGGTAGCTAGTGTCAGCTGCTGGTTGGCTTGTGTTCAGTGCTGACTGTGACGGGCTACCGAGGGTGATGTTGAGGTGGGTGTGCTCTTCAGGGGTTGGGAAACAGGACTTAATGCTGACCCAGTTGTGGTGCCTTAGGTGTGAGGCTCAGCTCCTTGTCCTCTACTCTCTTTCACTCTCCTCTTTTCATACAGAAGGCACTTTAGGGATGTCTTTGAACTTTGAACTCCCAGCAGATACAGGTTTGAATGCCAACTTTTCAGGTTTCTAGCTGTGCGAGCTTAGATCATAAGTTAACCCTTCCGAGCTTCATTTTCTCATCTCTAAGTGTCACAATATCGGAATAACAGATGAAATGAGATCATGTTTGTGATACCTGGCATTTAGAAAATATTCAACAAATCATATATGATGTTAATATCATTTGAATGATTTTCTGGAGATTATTGTTTCCTTTTTTAATTGAGGTAACATTAGTTTACAAGGCTGTATATATCTAGGGGTGCAGGTTCACACTGCTTCGATTGTGTGCCACCACACCATCCCCACCACCCAACTACCCTAATCCTTTACCAGAGTGCCTTGGGCACCCCCACCCTTTGAACCCCATGCTGACCCTGCTCTTCTGATAGCCTTCATTCTGAAGTGCTCTACTTTTTAACATAAGTAACATAAGATGTTTTACTTTTTTAAGTTGCTTCAATCTTTTTGACTGATTGGTTGATTTCCGGGGTGGATTGTTCAGGAGGCAAAATAGCACCTACAAGGGAAAGGCCCCTTTTGACCTGGTGATTGTGAATGAGGGTCTAGTGTCAGCTCTCCTGCATTTACAGCCTGGCTCCACCAGTTACTAACTGGGTGACCTTGGATAAGTAATTAATACTTCTGGGCTTCTGTAATTAATTCTTCTGTAAAATAAATTGATAGTTGCTCCTGTGATCCACTGCATAAGCTGTTGGTAGATTGAATGGGAATAGCACACAAAAGGTCTGGCATGCAGTGTCAGGGTAAGAGCTTTTCAAATGTCAGCTACTGCTCGTGCTGCCCAGGGCTTTTTGGGGGTAGCAGGGAGGTGACCTAGCGTGCCTGGCACGGTTCTGTTCCGCTCTGAACAGCTTCTGTCTGTGTTTGCCTCATAGTACTGTCTTTCTCATGGGACCAATGAAACAGCTGAAGCGAATGTTTGAGCCGACACGTTTGATCGCAACCATCCTGGTGCTGGTAAGGGCTGGGTTTCTAAATTGAAGGATTTTATTTCTGCTTTAGACAGTTCGGTTCCTCTTAAACTGCTTTCCTTTTGTCTTGACCCCACATCTGTGAACTGTGACAGCAGGGAGAAACCCTCATCTGATAATTATCCCCTCTTTCTCAGTGGGTGTCAAGGTCTCATCAGTTCTAGAAAGCACCTCCATAGAGTGTTACTTGTCATATTAACCAACTGAGAAGGTAGCAGAGAGCTTGGACACCCTTGGGTGATGGGTGAGGCCACACACCAGCAGAGCTGGAGGGAATATCTCAGAAGCACAGGGTTCAGTCTTTAGAGTGGGTGTCCAGTCTCCTAGGGTGGGCTTTTCCCCCCCTCGTCATTATGTAATTTGGGGAATCACATGCACTTGTTTTTATCAGTCTTCCCAAGATGGACCTGGTCTCATGGTCCAGGCTCCCTGGGACCAGCACTGACAATAGTGCCTTCAGGCTTGTCATAGCTTCCTGTCCTGTTTACCCAGAATCCTCCCCATCTTTAGGTCATTCTCTTCTTTTGATCATTAAAATCATTCCAGACCACATTCTCTGACATTTTCTTATAATGATCGGTATTGCATCATTTGGAACTCAAGCAGCATACTTATATATTAGTTTCATTTGTGTACATCTCTTTTGTTCCAGAAGGTACTGGAAGTATTGTAAGACATGTCTACATTTGCTATTTATTTTGTGTCCTTTCAGAGCCTTGGGTACAATATTGGACACAGAGAGAATACACAGGGTGGATGTGTTAAGCAGTGCCTGTGACAGAGGCTCCTCATGCCAGGCAGGACTGACAGGCTGAGCACTGCTCTTGGCCCCTAGATTGGAGCACCTGGACTAGACTCTGATAGAAAGAGCTCCCTGAGCCAGGGCTTGGGAAAGCTTTAGGGGACATAGAAACAAAGACTTGCTGACATCAGTGATATCGATATCTCTTATTAACCTTTGTCCACCCACGCCCTTCTTACTCCAGACAGGGCAGGCCTTAAAATGCGTTTAAATGTGTTAAACCTACTTTAGTGTGTTTGAATGACAGGCTGGATGATGAATAGGTGGGCCAGAGATGAGGTTTTCTTTGCTGCCCAGAGATTTTGGGAGAATTTGAAAGCAGAAAAGGATCCTTTTCTTTACATGAATCCTTATTGTCTAGCTTAATTTCATGGAGATTTTAACTTTTCTGCCAAATGCAGGGCTCAGGGGGTTAAATGCTTTGACAGGAAAGGTGCATTTGTTTGCTGTGGTGATTGCAGAATTGGCTCAGTAAGCATTGTTGAGAATAATGCTTTGCAGTATTGTTTGCTTTTTGCCATGTTGTCATTGCATTACTTAAACAAGACTTCCTTTCTCTCTCTAGTTGTGCTTTGCACTTACCCTGTGTGCAGCCTTTTGGGTAAGTGTGTATTTTCATTTTCATTTCCTTCACCTTCTTGGCTCATGCTTCTGTCACGCACTTGCATGTAACCATCTCATTTTTCTTTCAGTGGCATAACAAGGGACTTGCTCTGATCTTCTGCATTTTGCAGTCTTTGGCCCTGACGTGGTAAGTAACCTTTTAAGCAGTCCCCTCCCACATGGATCTTTGAGTAACGCCCTCAAAGCAGCTAAAATTCCACTTGGTGTAAGTGGGAGGATTAGAAAAACATTGAAGCTTTTTAATTTAGAAATTCTCAACGATGCAAGTGAAGTCAGACTCCAGAGCCAAAGCCCACTGCCAATAGATGGCATTCATAGTCTTAAGTGGGCCTGGGAGGCTGTTTTTTGCTGCAGTTTTTTTGCCAAATTCATAGTTGACTTTGAGATGTTACAGATGTTATCAAACCACTCACATCCAGGAAGTACAAGGACAATGAAGTATTGTAAAGATTGGTAAAAAGAGGCTTGTGAGTCAAATAGGCATGGAAGAAAAAGAAAAGTGGTAAGAAAAATAATAAGCCTTCCATTGGTGCTGGAATGAAGCATTTCAGAGAAGGACAGAGTGAATTTTGAGCGGGAGAGAAGAGCGGTGACTGGGATGAAAAATTGTGTGGCAACCTGTGTGGTCAGGAGGGGCGCCGGAGGCCTGTTAGCAAGACTAGGGGCTGGCCACTGCAGTCTCAGGTTAGGGCTCAGCGTAGGAAAGCAGAGACATTTGTAGGCTCCCGGCCCCTTTCTACTGGCACAGCTGCAAAGCAGGAGGAATGGTTCACTTACGAAATGTATAGCTTCTGGGCCATTTCTGTAATGTTTTCAAAAGTTTATCAAGTTTATCAAGGAATGATAGCTTCAGCACAGTTTCAGTACTGATGTGGCTAGTCTGCTTTGGAAAAAGAATGTTTGCTCTCATGCAAAGAATTCTGAAAGTCTTAAATCTTCCAAAGATCAATTAAGATTGCCCTTAAACAGTGCAGGGATTAGGGGTGCTGACCCCCACACAGTTAAAAGTCTGAGTTTAACTTTTGATTCCCCAAAACTGAAGTATAGTCATTCCTTGGGATGCAAAGGGGATCGGCGTCAGGACCCCCATGGACACCAGTATCCCCAGATGCTCTAGTCCATTGTGGTCAATCCTATGCATCCGTGGGTTTCATGTCTGCGGGTTCCTCATTGCACATTCAGCCAGCTGATGTAGGCAGTTGGTGGAATCTGTGACTCTTCAGCTTAGCTGGAGAAAACCTTCATATAAACAACCTATGCTTTCTAAACTCAAGTTGCTTTTCAAGGGTCTGCTGTGTACTCCTGTTTGGTTGAAGTGGATTTTGTGATTGCAAGCTTAACACCCACCCCTCCCTTTAGTAATTTTGGACTTCAGAATGAATGCGCTTTCAAAACGTCATTTGGAATTTGCTGGGTTCACAAGGAAATGTGCTTCTGTACATGCTGAGTGTAAGATATGGAAAAGAATCATGACCTGATTTTAATATAATATATTTTGGCAGTAGGTACTGAAAGTGCTGGAACTAGTGACTTATTTTGGTTTCCTTCTGGAGAAAGAAATTGGTACCACCACATGCCTTCCTCTGCTCGTAGACTGGTTTTGAAGCCAGTTTTCAAATTCAGCATTTGATGCAGTCAGGCGGAGGGCTGTGTTCGCTCCAGCACTGACTATTCCAGCTACTTTTGCCTTTCTTAGGACTGACCGACTTAGAACTGGCCTGTCGCTTTGTGCCTGGTCCTTTAGCCTGTGAGAGCTGGCATGGTCATCAAGATTTCTTTGACTTGGGGTTTTAGGAGAATCTTATCTTACCAGGATTTTCATCTACAAAGTAGTTGGTCATGGCTTTTTAATTCTATTTTCTTTTGAAATTAGTGAGAGCAGAGCAGAAAATTTATCCCAATTGGATATTTTGTATTTTTTTGAGGATTTGTAAAATATTTAGAGGGCCGCTGATCTGGATTTTATTTGGCATTCTTTTAGAAGAGGGCTTCGGTGCCATCTGGGTATCTGGAATCTGCCCATTTTAGGTGCTTGCGGCTGGCTCATTGGGTGAAAGCTGTGATTCCATGAGTCAGAAGTGATGGGGTTGTCCCCGCCCCCCCAAGGCCTTCTGTCTTCCTTCTTTGGCTACAGAAGACATTCCTTTTCTCTCCCCAGTTACATGTGCTCCACAGCGTATATTTACATGTGTGTGCACACCTGTGCATTGTGCATGCATGGGTGTGTGCATGTGTCAATGTGTCTGCATCACATATATGAGCATTGTACTCACATCAGTGTTGTACACTGTGCATGAGTGAGTGTGTACATGTGTGTTCTTTCGCCACTCTGAGGGGAGGGCGGCAGAGGACCTGGATAAATCCCTGAAGCTACTCTTGGAGCAGAGTCTGTTCCCTTGTATAATCTTTCACTTCTTTCATTTGATTTGATCATTTGTTTTTTCATTGCAGGTACAGCCTTTCCTATATACCATATGCAAGGTAAGGCTAGTTATTTAGGACTCAAACAGTGTCATTCCTTATTAAATAATGATGACATTAAACCAAAGCATGTTAGTAAGTGCTTCCAGATACGGGGCCTTGGGCACCCTCACAGGTCTCTCATGTGGGAAGCCAGGCCTGCTTGGCTCCACTGGGACTGGCCTTTACAGATCTCATGTGCCAGTGATGGGCAGAGTGGTGGGTACTGTTGCAAGTGGTGGGTTTCATGAGCTGAGCAAGTGACAGTTTCCTCTGCTAGGGAAGGAACCACAAAGGCAGGCTCTATACTAGTAGCTTCCCCTAGAGTGGCCTTTCCCATGGCGCTCTACTGGTTATGTTCATGGTGTTTATGTGGAAGCAAGGGGTTCCATGACCAAATAAGTTTGGGAAAACGCTTAAGCCAAATTCGGTAGATTTGTGTTACCTTACTTTCCAGCTCCTTTAAGATGTTATGTATATTGTGAGCTGCCACGAGGGACGCTCCTAGGCCCTAGAGCCCTTTGTGCAGCAAGTCTCCTGGGGCTGTAGTGTGGCACGTATCTTAAGAAACACTTTCCTCGAGTTATCTTGATAATGGAGCACAGTAGCTCATGAGAATGCAGTCACGCCTTGCTCTGGCCTTCCCTGCGTGACTCCCAGTGCCCTTGACATGAGTGCAGCTGAGAACAGAGAATGAACAGAGTCCTAGCTGTAGCCAGATGTGGCGAGGAAGGAGATGCTTGGCTGACTAGGGCAGTGATTTTCTGAGCACTCAGTGAGTCCCCAGGAGTCCACACACGGGGTGGGGTGAATAGAGCATGTTAGTAAGTGCCCAGAGACCTCCCCTGCTTCATTTGGAGGAGGAAATTGCAACTCGGCCTCCTAACTGCGGGATGTGCCTCCTGTACCCTGTGGATCTCTGCAGTCCTGCCTCATGTCCCGGTTTCTGCTAGTCTGTACTTTCCTCCTAGCTGCTTCTCTGATTGTAATGATAGTGATCGTCGATTAAATACCTCCTCTGTTCAGTGTGCTGATTTCTACACTGACCTGTAGGGGAAATGGGGAATTCCCTTTTACAGATGAGGAATTTGAAACAAGGTAGGTAACTTGCCCAGGGCAATACTAATCAGTGCTATAGTTGAGGTTAAGGACAAGTAGATCTTTACCTCTTACAGATTGATGGTTCCTGGCTTCCCATTTATCTGTGCTTTTCTTTCCTAGGGATGCCGTGAAGAAGTGTTTTGCTACGTGTCTTGCATAACACAAAGCCAGCTTGGCAAAGCTTTGGAAGGCACAACAGGCGGAAGCCGGTGGGCACTTTTGTAAATATCTCCCAAACCTGTTTTGCAAACACGTGCCTTTTATCTTGCAGCAATGTGTTGCTTGCCATCTGAACATCTGAGGGTTGCTTTTGGAGGCAACCTTTTGCCCCTAAACCCGAATGTCTGTCGCACAGTAAGAGAGGTGGGTTTTGTATCTCACGGAGTGGAATCTTCCTCTCTCATCTGTTTCCTCTTTGGATGGTGTTCCACTGCAATCTCATAAATAAAAACCTTATTAAGCAGCAGCCGATAAGCCTTGGGAGCCAGTGATTGCCTGGTGACCTCAGGCAGCCTCACTGGAGATGGCAGGAATTCAACAGTAAAGGACAGTGTTTTGGGGTCCACAGGGACACGCAGATGTGTCCTTCAGCTTGGAGACCCTTGTCCCTGCCCCACATAGCAGGGACTTGCTTCTGCTCTGCTATCTGGAACAAGCCACGTGCCCTTCTGCCAGCTGCCCACAGGCCCGTGAAGTGAAGGGAGAAAGGAGCACCTTTTGGTAACAAGTGTCGTTTGTAAATCTGAACCCCTGCACTCTTGCTGTTGACTCCATGCCTGACTGGAATGTGTTCCCAGCATTCAGTGCACACTCTTTTCTTGAGTCTTTCTCACCATATAGCTTTATGCCTGATTTCCTGGAACTAGATTAGAGAGAACATAGCAGCAGCACAAAACACTATTTCTTCTTGGACCAGAGCCCACAGTAGGTGAAAACTTTTGCTGCTCTCGGCTCTCTCTGTGTGTGTATGTGTGTGTATCTCTGTCTATGCGTTTTCCTTATTTATAAATGTTTGCTTTTAAGCCAGTTTATTTTCCGTTTTCCCCTGGAGCAGAGCCATAGGAGAGTGGGTGGGAAGACAGAGCCCTACTGTAGTGCCAGCGGGAAGTGGTCACGCCTGCCAGTGACCTTTAGACAGTCTGTCCGGTGCACTTGAGCCTGTGCTGCAGACGCTGGGTGGGCACCATGGACCTGCAGGGCAAGCACATCTCAGCCAACTGCCTGGGCGCATACAAAGTGCTGTTTGTGCTCATGATCTTGGCTGATCCTCACAAGAGCCTCATGAAGAAGTAGGGATTGTTATCCCACTATGTGAGCAAGGAAGTCAAGGCTGAGAGAGGTTTCCAGACCCATCTGAAGCCACATATTGACAGAACTGAGCCCCGAGTCTGGGTGCCCCAGCTTTAGTCTCCTTCACAACCCCATGTTCCGGGTGTGGCTCTGGGGGGGGGTTACCTCTGGTAACTGGCTCCCCTGTTTTCATCCCCGAGCTTATGTCTTTTCTGTTCCCAGTCTCTTTATGCCACTGCATTGTCTCCTCCCCATTCTCCCTCGGGAAGCTTCCGCTTGAATCCGGAGGATGTTCATCATTCCTTTGTGTTCCTATTTAGCTTCGCCTTGCTGCCTGACCTTTGTAAGTGTCCTGTACTGATTACCAGAGTTCTCAGCATTCCAGGACCCCAGTGTCATCCTACAAATGAAGTCCTTGTGGGTTTGCCTTTTTACTCTTTACCAGGTCTAGCTGGTCTCTGTGGCTACTTGCTGAACTTGCCTTTCTCCTGCTCTGATTGGCTGGGCTTTTAATTTCACCAGGAGAGGTAGGAATAGGCCCAGTGGGGCCTGAATGGGGCCCAGTGGGGCCTCACCAGGCCATTTCTAGGCTGCTGAGGCATCCTGTCTTAGACTGAGTTTCCTAACTCATGTTTAACCATGAAGGGAAATTCTGTGTGCTACCCTCTGGTTTTTTTTTTTTTTTTTTTTTTTTTTTTTGTCCTTTTCACACCCCAGGTACCTCTGGGAAATAGGTTAGAGCTCAGAAGACCTCTGGTGGAAGAGGGGCACGCATAGTGTAGTGGCAGTGAATGTGAGTTATGGCTCCATCACACAGTGGTGTCAGGGTGAACAAGTTCCTTAACTGCTGGTTCCTCATTTTGCTCATCTGCTTAAGAGTAACGGGGATCGCATTTTCTGCTGGATACATACATGGTGTCAATGAGATGGTATCAAGTGCTGTGTACGGGGCTCAGCTAAGGTGAATGATAGTGAAAGGTAGATGTTATTTAATCCCAGAAATAACCAGTGACCTTTGGGGGTGACTGAATGAATGTCTCTGACCATTAATATATCTAGTGCTGTGTTTTTAGCACTTGCCATGAATGATTTCATTTAACGTTCTTAATAATTTTGCCAGTCAGCGGGTCTTCCCTTCATTATGGAGAGTCAGGGGTCTGTGCCAGATCTCACCAGTAGAGGGCAGTGCTTCTTGCATAAAAACTCCTGCTTTGTCCTAATTCTTGGGACTGTGGCCACTTTGCTTAGACTTCAGTCAGGACACTACTGGCAATTTTTGGATAATCCTGCCTTCTAGAATTTTCCAGATCCCTAGAGGTTTAATTCTGCCTTCTTATCCTATAGTTGTTTCCCTACTTGTTTTTGTTGGCCGAACTATGGGAGGAAGAAATCCTTTTCACATTTGCTGAAAGCTGTTACCAAGCAACAGTGCTGATTCAGTGCTACCTAGAGAAAGGAGGAGCACAGCATTCTGGTTTTAGACCCTGTGACTAGTCAGGATCCCTGTTTTCCTGCTCCCTGCCTTCATCCCATCCTATTTATTGCCAGGTGGACAGAACATTGCCTTTTGGGGAGTGAAGGGAAGCATAGTGTCAACTCTTGCAGATATGAAGTGTGCTCACCCAGGCTTGTGCTTTGGTCTGGAAGCCCCTGCTAGGATGGTCTGGCCTGTGCCTGTTGGTGCTGTGGTCGCTGTACTGGGGGCACAGCCCTTGGTCTCACTGCTTGCCTCATTTCCCAGCCTCTCAGACATGCTGATTTAATGCTGATGGGCCTGTTCACTAACCACTGCCTCCCACCTCTTGATCAAATGTGCTTGAGGAGCCTCTGCTTGTCCAACTCCTCCATGTGGCTGTGTCCCAGACTCCCTGTGCTGAGACCTGGCTGGAGCCTTCTTTCAAGATCACAGACAGACCGTCTCGTCCCTGGGTAGGCGAATCACTCTCGAGGGGAGCATTTTTGTAACGAGCCCCAACCTGAAAGAGTAGGTCCTTTTCTCTCCAGGGAGAGTGTTCACCAGAGAGCACTAGGTGTAATTAAACCAGCCAGGCTTTATTAGAGACGCATGCAGGAGGGAGTCAAAGCAGAAAAGGAGAATTTAGCCTGGAAGGGAGTGAGGGAGTTGATATTTAATGGGTAGGTCCATGAGGTGGGGCAGAGGAGAGCAGCATCATGGCTTGCTCAGGGTTGGGCTACACCCATGTGGTCTACATGTGGGTTCTTGGCCTTCTCCCTCCAGAGAATTGTGAGATAATCACTAGTCATCTCTAACGCTGGCTATCTGCCATGGCCCCTCATAGTGTGGGCCTTCTCAGCCAAACTGAGCAGGGCTCGGCAGCCTCTGATTTACTCTATCTGTTCAAATAGGATTCAGGAACTCACCCTACTGACTCGAAATTTCTTTTACCTAAGTGGTCTCATTTTCACTGGGTCTGTTAGCTCAGTTCTTGGCACTTCTGTCCGTCACTCTTGTATCTGACTTGCGGGATTATGTGTCTGAGAGCAACCTCCCTTTCACTCCAGTGAGGTGCAAGAAGTAAAATCATGAATGTATCTAAATAAAATGACTTTTGGCTGCTTCCATTGGAAAAGATAATTAAGAAGTGGGCGATACCCTTAAAAAAAGATTTGGGGGGCACTTCTTTGGATGCTTAAGTTCTCGCTAGCTCACCGGCCATGAAATGAGGATGAGACCTCATGGGATGAATTAGGAAATTGAAATACAGCCCAGTGGCTGTGCAGTCCCTTTTCTTCTTGTTCTTCAAAGAACTTGTACCTCAACTCAGCTACAGGATTACAAATACTTCAACATTCACAACTTGCCCTTAAACCACATTTTCAGCAAATGAATTTTAAAAAATCAGTGTTTAAATTTTTAAAGCCATTTTGCTAATCTTTGGCATAGTTTTTTTTTTTTTATTTTAAATTTCAGCGTTTTTTGGATAATTTTTTAAGACTTATGATAGTTTCTTTGCAGGTAGTGTTTTTACAATAGCAAATAGATCTTCAGCTGACCTTGACACTTGATCTTAGCCAAAAGGCCGAGAAGCGATTTTTCAACTGACCTTGAATATGGATTTGCATCTATATAACTCTTGATCAGATGTTAGCAAAGGAATTTTGAAAATTTTTATGATTTCTTGTTTAAAAAGTTGGTGGGGAGGTTAAATTATGTGACTTTAAAGTATCTTCTAATTCATAATTTCATCAAATTCTGAGATCTTGGGGCGTTTTTAGTTGAGCGAAGAGGAAAGTGCTGTGTTGTATGTCAACTTCCTCATGGTTGGTTGTTCAGTGCCACATTCTGGTTATTTCTGGTTCTGCCCTAAATGCAGAGGTGACACTCCCATGTCCCTGATGTCCTTCAGCTTCGCTCTTGGTGCTCAGGTGCCTATGACATGGTCCCCCAAAGCCTTGCAGATATCTTCCTCCCTGGCTTTTGATGAAACCCAGGGAAGTGACCTGGAGCAGCAGGGCCTATGCTAATGCAAATTGACAAAATAAAATCACACCCTTTCTATCAGGAGTTGATACACTGCTAATGGGCTTAGACATGTACAAAACATTTCCTCTAGACTGGCTGAACTGAAACCAGGGCCGAGAGTTGACAAGACAGGAGAAACTTGACTATTTGAAATGAAAGGTCCATCTACAGTATTATAATGGTGGAGATATAACTGGTGGAGATATAACAAAATACTGGTGGAGATATCACAAAAAAGTAATGTCACTACATTTAATAAGTAGTGTTCCCCCAAAAAATGTATGATCACAGACAAATGTTCTCCAATATAATGGCTGCCTACACTAAACATCCTTGTGAGACGTCTTTTAGGGCCTGATTGAAACTAGTGTCTGGGCACAGGTTGCTCTTTGCCTAATGACCTTCTCTCCTGCACAGGGAGATATTTATTGGATCTTGTTCTGGGTAAGGAACCTTGCATTTGTATAATAATCCTAAAGGCGAACCATTGTTTATATTCAATCGTGCTTTTTCTGAACAGTTTATTTTGCCTTTTCAACTTGTTTGCTTGATTTGCCACTTTGAACAAGAAAAGAAAAAATAAAAGACTGTACACTCACCTCTTGTTGTTTCTGTAAATTCTGATTGTGAAAGTGGGGGTGAGAATGCTCAAAAGCCTGTGGGGAATTCATCTGCCTTCAGAACATTATGCTTGTTCTAAGATGAAGAGCTTTTAAGACTCTTTGTTAAATCATAGATCAGTTTTTGTAACTGTATAGATACTCGGCTGGTTTTGAATGCTGCTGATTGCATAACTGAATTTTTTATATCCAAAAATATATTCTTGTGTGCTGCTTTTCCTATCTTGAGATACTATTTCATACAATAAATATTGTATGCTTTTTACTAATTCATTTCCAAGGGAAAGGATTTTGCTGTTGTTTTTTTCCCCGATATATCATGCAATAAATCTCATTTTTTCTTCTCCAATAAATAATAACATTATGATCTTTAATAAGTCTAATATTGTCTCTTCATGTTTATTTTTCGGGAGTCCCTCAGCCAATGAAGATAGTGTGGCAATAAGAAAAGACCATGTTTTCAACATGAATTTTTAATATATAGGCATATTTTCAACACATAAGATGGTTTTTGAGCTAGTTGCATATGTAGTTCTCTCTTTTTGAATGGCCTAGAGCTTAACATGGGTCTAAGGAGAGTTCTGAAGGTTTTTGAAAGATATGTTTTAAGTGTTTATTTTATATTGTTGCATACCTAACTGGTTTAATTACTTAGCATAAACTCGTCATCTAATTAGTACAATGTTTTTCATAACATGTCCTTACTCTTTTAATGTGTGTAGGATTTGTGGCTATGTCCCTTCTCTCAGATTCTGGTAATTTCTATCTTCGCTAACTTGATCAGTCCAGCTTGAGGCTTATCAGTTTTATTGTTTCAAAGGCAACCCAATTTAAAAATTGAGATGGATATTTAACAAAAGAAAAAACATGAATAGCCAACAAACATATCTGATAAACACTATATTATAAGAAGTTGAAAAAAAGGAATTCAATTTTTGACTCAACAGATGTGTTCTTTAGGTGGTAAAATAATAAAAAGCAAGGAAGCTATTTGCATAAAAGTTAAGATAGTGATTAATTTGGGACACATGGAGAGATTAGTGATTGGAAAGGGGACTCTGAGTGCTATATGGTATTTACACCTGCTATGTCATTGCACTATATGTGTGTATATGCACTTTTGTGATGTGCTTGATTTTATAATAAAAGAATAGCTTGGATTTCATTGACTTTCACTATTGATGTCTTTTATTTAATTTTTTATCTCTTATTCTTTCTTTATACTCACTTTGGGTGTAATCTGCTCTTCTAGCACTTGAAGTGGAAGGTTAAGTAATTCATTTTACGTCTTTTTTCTAATATGGATTAACACTATAAATTTCCCTCTATGCTGTGCTTTTGCTGCATCTCACAAATTTGATAGGGTGTATTTTCATCTTAATTCTGTTCAAAATACTTTCTATTTCCCTGAGATTTCTCCTTTGATCCATTGATTACTTATATGTATATTTAAGTTTTAAAATTTTGGGCATTTTTCAGATATCTATGATTGATTTATAATTCCATTGTCATTAGAGAACATATTCTAAATGATTTTAATTCTTTTAAATGTATTGGAGCATGCTTTTATGGCCTAGAATGCAGACTATCTTGGTGGATGCTCCAAGTGTATTTGAAGAGAATGTATTAGTACACAAGAGTTTCAATTTCTCTGCATTCTTACCTCACCAACACTTATTTCTTATTTTCTGTTTTTTTTTTTTTAAGCATTTATTTTATTTTATTTTTTTTTAATAGAGGCATGTTTTTCTTTATTTATTTGTTTGCTTGTTTGTTTGTTTTGTTTATACATGCACTGGGTACAGTCAGAAGCGCGGGAGGGTGAGAGAATTCACCAGAGCCAGAGCCGGGAGCAGAGCAGGCTGAAGGACCGAAGTACACTGCTGAGGGGAGCAGCGGGCGGCAGGAGAGGTCTGCGCGCCATGTGGGACCCTCCTCCGGTGGCCGGGGAGCAGCCGGGGATTGAACCGGCGCCGCAGAGGCCGCGGGCAGCTTCGCAACCCAGCGCTCTACCGCTGCGCCACCGGGGAGGCCCTCTGTTTGTTTTTTTTTAACAGTAGCCATTCTATTAGATGTGAGGTGGTATCTTGATGTAGTTTTAATTTATATTTCCTTAGTGATCAGTGACAACGAACATGTTTTCTTTTTTTTTTTTAAGGATTTGAAGATTTACTTATTTATTTATACAAGCACTGGGTACAGTCAGAAGCACGGGAGGGTGAGAGAATTCACCAGAGCCAGAACGGGGAGCAGAGCAGGCAGAAGGACCGAGGTACACTGCTGAGGGGAGCAGCGGGCGGCAGGAGAGGTCTGCTCGCCATGTGGGACCCTCCTCTGGTGGCCGGGGAGCAGCTGGGGATCGAACCGTCACTGCAGGCTGCAGGCAGCTTCGCAACCCAGCGCTCAACCGCTGCGCCACCGGGGAGGCCCCCGAACATCTTTTCTTGTACTTACACACCGTATATCTCTTCATTAGAGAATCTGTTCAAATTCCTTGCTCATTTTTTTTTAAAGATTTATTTTAGTTATGTATGCAACAACTGGGGTACAAGCCAAAGGTGCAGGGGGTGGGAAGATTCACCAGAGACAGAGTGGGGAGCAGAACAGGCGGATCTACTGAACTACACTGCTAAGGGGAGCAGCAGGCAAGACAGGATAGGTCTGCTGCACCCTGTGGATTAGCTCCTTTGTAGGGGCCACAGTGGTTGGCGATAGCTTGGTAGTGCTGAGACTTTAACCCCTGTGCCACCAGGGAGGCCCTCTTTGCTAATTTTTGAGTTGGATTTTTTGTTGCTGCTGTTGTTGAGTTTTAGGCTTTATTCTTGATAGTAATCTCTTATCAGATACATGATTTACAAATATTTTCTCCTTTTCCTTTGGTTACCTTCTCACTGATTGTGCCCTTTGATACACAAAACTTAAAAAATTTTATCAAGGGGCCTCCCCTGGTGGCGCAGCAGTTGAGCGCTGGTCTGCGAAGCTGCCTGCGGCCTCTGCAGCGCCGGTTTGATCCCCAGCTGCCAGGCGAGGGTCCCACATGGTGCGCAGACCTCTCCTGCAGGCCCGCTGTTCCCCTCAGCAGTGTACTTCATCAGTCTGCCTGTTCTGCTCCCTGCTCTGGCTCTGGTGAATTCTCTCACCCTCCCACACTTCTGACTGTACCCAGTGCTTGTATAAATAAATAAATAAGTCTTAAAAAAAATTATCAAGCCATATTTGTCTATTTTCGTTTGTGCCTATGGTGTGATGACCAAGAAGTCATTGCCAAATCTAATGTATGAAACTTTTGCTTGGTGTTTTCTTCCAGGAACCTTATATTTTAGTCTTACCCTCCCGCGCTTCTGACTGTACCCAGTGCTTGTATAAATAAATAAATAAGTCTTAAAAAAAAATTATCAAGCCATATTTGTCTATTTTCATTTGTACCTATGGTGTGATGACCAAGAAGTCATCGCCAAATCTAATGTATGAAACTTTTGCTTGGTGTTTTCTCCCAGGAACCTTATGTTTTAGTCTTACATTTGGCTCTTGGATGCACTGAGTTAATTTTTCTGCAAAAACAAAATACATTTTGATGGGAGTTGCATTTAATGTGTAAACTGCTTTGAATAGTAGTAACCTCTCAATAGTGACAGTCCTCTAATTCAGAGGTGTTTCCATTAATGTCTTCTTTTAATTTCTTTAAGCAATGTTTTGTAGTTTTCATTGTACAAGCCTTTTACCTCCTTGATTAAGTTCGTTTCTAGATATTTTACTCTTTCTGTTGGGTGGAATTGTTTATATATGTCTGTTAGGTCCAGTTGGTTTATTGCGTTGCTCAAGCACTTATTTCCCTATCTTCTGTCTGGCTGTTCTATCTGTTATTGTCAATGGGTATTGATGTATTCAACTAATGTTATAGAATTATCTGTTTTTCTCTTTAATTCTGACAGTTTTACTTCATATATTTTCATGATCTATCATGGTGCATAAATGTTTATAATTGTATATTTTTGCTATATTTAACCTTTTGTCAATATATGGTATATTATATATAAATATTAACAACTGTGTATTAATATACTCTATATATTATGCATTTTTTTAACATATAATGTTTTTCCCCTGGAAGTTGCAAACCATCAACAGATTTCTGATTTCCAAAATAGTTACAGCAGACAGATTCTGCCACTGTGATTGCTGGATAGGAGGGGAGACAGTCTCCTGGTGCTTCCTACTACTCCAACTTCTTCCCAGAATCCTCTGCAGTAGTCCCTTTTCTTTGTATATTTTTCTGTTAAGGTTAGTTTTGTGATAATTGGTACATTTGGAAGGCAATCTGTCTTTTTCCATCTGGATCTTTGTACTTAGTTTTCCATATTAAACTGTGATGTGCTTGATGTCAATTTCTTTTTATTATTCATTTAGAGTTTTTAGGACTTCATGAAACTTTAGCTCAATATCTTACATTAGTTTTGGGAAGGTCTTAGCCATGATCTCTTCAAATATTGTTTCTTCTCCATTATTTTTTCTTTCTGGACACTAATCTATAAGATAGACAGTCTTACTTGTTTCTATCTCTTACCCTCTTCTGTGTGTTTCATCTTTCATTCTAGGTACTATCTTCTGGCCTCTTCTAGTTCATTTTTTCTTCATCTGTGTCTAATGTACTGTTGAACCTATGCACTTTGAGTTCTTAATTTCACTTGTATTTTTAGTTCTAGAATTTCTGTTTAGTTATTTTTAAAAGTTTTCAGTTTTCTGCTGAAAATTCCCTACATTCTTTTTATCTCACGATAATTGTCAGCATGTGCCCATTAAATCCTTATCTGAAGCCCCTGTCATTCTGTGGCAAAGGTCTTTCCATGTGTCTCATTTTCATTCATGTTGAATCTTTTCTCTTAAAAAGTTTCAAATACACCATTCCTTGCCATCTCTCTGGCTCTCTGATTCCTTCAAGCGGGTGATTATATTTTATTCTGATTTTCTCTTTGCCCTCAGCACAAGACTGGTTAAAGATACTTAGTTTGCTATTAATAAAAGCAAAATGAGACTTCTTCTGTCCTAACCACAAGTGATCTTTTAATAATGTTTATGTTTTGAATAGTGAGTAATGGTTTAGCTCACTTACCTGTTTTATTTTGGTATTTTTTGCTCATCTGAAAACATCTACATTTTCTTCCTTTATTTGACTTCTTTCTAATTATATCAAAACTGAAAGCCAAAGCAAACAAGGTTAAGAATTGAATATATCTGTAGAGGCAGAGTGAGATTTGTTATAATTCTTTCTATTTTCCTCACAACAAGAATAGTTTGTTGGACCAGCTTAGAAATTTTTTGTTTGGAAATTTAATATTAGAAGATGCCATTATATTTAATACTTTCGGTAAAATGTTTCAATTGTACTTTTTAAAGTTTCCATTCGATAATTCATGTGTATATATATATATATTTATTTGATACAATTCTCTTTATACTTATGTGAATTTATAATTGGTAATAAAAATCTGTTTTAGATTTTCTTCTGAATTGTTTATGGAACTCATGCTTCTCTTTCTGGAATCATATTTATTCTTTAGTTAATGCACAAAGAAGGGAAAATGTTGACTTTTAAGCAGAACATTAAAAAACTTGATTTAAGGTAGGTAATCAACCAAAGGACAATATAGCAAAACCACTACCAACTTTCTACATAGAAATGTTTGATATTCTAAACAAGCAAGCCGAATTCTCTAAATTGTTGTGCAATTAATTTAAGGAATAGGGTCTCCCTGGTAGCACAAGGGGTTAAGATGCAGCCATTGAGGCTGTCCGCAGCCTCTGCAACACGAGTTCGATCCCTGGCCAGCCAAGGAGGTACCCACATGGCGCAGCAGACCTCTCCTGACTTGCCCGCTGTACCCCTCAGCAGTGTATTTCAGTACATCTACCTGTTCTGTTCCCCACTCTGTCTCTGGTGAATCCTCTCACCCCCCACACCTCTGGCCCATACCCCAGCTCTTGTATGCATAAATAAATAAATCTTTAAAAATAAATAAATAAATTGAGGAATAAGAAAATATGTCAAATAGTGAGGTCCATTGAGGCTCAAAATTAAAGCTTCTTCTATTTTAATGCTTTCATAAACATTCCTTAAGAGGAAATACAGAGTATAATTGAAAAACTGGTGCATTG